TTTGGAGGACACCCCATATCTAAACCTTAACAGATATCTACTCTTACGTAGAGCTATGGAAGTCTTTCACCTATACTTCAATTGGATCATCTGCCTTTCTCTCTTTGCTTTGCTTTGTTCTTTATATATTCAGGACATGAATCCTTGGCTAGAAATGAATAAAGTGTGTGTATATTTTCTCCCATTCTATGGGCTTGTTTTTTTCTCATTCTCCCAGTGAGCTCTTTTGGAGGTCTCAGACTCACTCATGAGGTGAAGTCTAATTGAAATGTGTGACTTTTGCCCAGTGAGCTGACAGCTAAGCTTAAATTGCTCTGCTTGGTTTCCTCATGAGCACATGAAGTTCACGTTGGCCATTCTTCAGTTCTTTAGTTCTCAAATCTCATTCTTCTGAAGCCTAAGGATGATGACAACTTAAGATAGTGAATCCCACCAATCATGGGTGGAGGGTGCGGTGGCTGCTGAGGGCCAGAATAAATAGGGAAGACTAAATTAATAGGGCAAGCTTTGGAGTAAGATGGATCTGAGAGAACTTTGGCAAATCACTCAACATCTCTGAACCCATTCTTTTAGTTTTACGGTTTGTTTAATTCATTCACAAAATTTACTGTGTAAATATTAAGTTTCGGGCACAGTGATAGTGATTGTGGTTGAGGACCTCTAGATTAAATAAGTCTTCAATAATTAGTAACTACCATTTATTTTCTAGAATTTCTGGTTTGTATCCTGAGATGCTTAGTCAATCTATTTAAGAATATTTGGAAGAAAATGCTTTTGAAATGAGAATCATTAGTTCCAAATCAGCATCAGTTTGCTCAGACCGCTGTAACGAAGACCCCAGAATGGTGTCTTAAACAGAAATATATTTTCTTATAATTCTGGAGGCTGAAAATCCAAGGTCAAGATGTGGGTAGGTTGGAAATGCCTTTCTTCTGGATGCCCCTCTCCATGACTTGCACATGGCCATCTTCCACCAGTGTCTTCACATGGTGACATCCCGGTGCACATTGTGACCTGAACTTTTCTTTTTATAAAGATGTAAATCACTTTGGTTAAGGTCACAGACATGACTTAGTTTTATCTTCTTACCTTTTTAACAGTTCTATATCCAAATAAAGTCATATTGAGGTATGAACATATGAATTTGTGAGAGTGACATAATTCAGACAATAACAGCAGAATATACTAAGAAAATATTAAACTTCTATTTATTTTTAAAAGCTAAAATTTAAACTTTATTAGTGTTCAATAAATAAATTTATAGTTGACTATATCATTTTAAAATAAACATATCTGTAGCATACATGTTCAAAAATTACTCCTGCTAGAGAGACATAGTTAAAGAAGTTTAGAGACACTAATCTAATGTGTCAGGCTACAAGAGACAGCAGATAGAGGAGTTGGCAGAGGAAGAATGTAACTTCGTGTTGAAATTGAGCAGGTATAACTTAGACCAAATCCAAAAGTACAGTGAGGTGACACAGGGCTGGGGAGGAAATGAAGCTGATTAGCAGTAAAGGGCAGAATAGCTGGGTCGGTGACTGGGACAGGAACATGAGGATGGACAGCATGATGAAATTATAAGGGAGACCTTCAATATGCTATGTGTGTGGCAGATGGCAGCATCACAGCTGTGCAACCTCTGGGGTGGCCAAGGACTGGCAGTGGGTGGTGAAATGTGTGGAGAAGTGGGTGTGGCACTCAGGAGCAGCACCTTCTTAGCCAGCACTCAAGCCGCCTCTTCCCTACCTTCTCTGGGATGGGGTCCCAGGGAAGTGGCCACAGCAGCCAGAGCAGCAGCTATTTCCAGTTGGCATAGCGGTGTTTCAGTACGACGGCACCCGGGCTTATCAGTCAACAGCAGACCCAAATATAAGCATTTCTTAGATAACCTCCTTAACATGTAGTTTCTCAGCACAGGTCTCTCCCTCTACTTGTGTCAATCAGAACTTCATTTTCTTTCCCATTATATTAAACTCCTCAGGCTTGAGTAAACCTTAACATTATTCTTTTCTTCCTCATTCCCATTCTTGACTTAGCATAATTCCACAGTGCATCTTTATAACACACTTCTAGGCACAGGGGAAGAAAGGAAAAGGTCAGATATCCACAGGTTTGAATTTGGATTGTGAAGGGCTGCAGATCTTAAACAGGAGAGAAGCACAGCAAAATATTATTGATATTATTTGTTGATGTGACAACCTGTTGATTGCTATGATTGTTTGGCCCATGCTTACTAAATCAAGGTGTCAGCAACTCCAGTCTATTTCTACAGTTCATAAGAGACTTAACTGGAAGGAAGAAGGGTGATTGCCAGTCTATGACTAGCCCCCAAATTGGAAAACAAACCCAAGATTCTCTTCACTGACTCACTGCACATGAGCTAAACATTATCTAAAATATAGCTGAATGCTAGAGATTTACGAGCAGTTATGAGTCAATGTGTTTACGCTCTCGTGCTTCTGATGGACATCCATTCTTGGAATATGGGAAGATGGAAGTTAGTGAACTGCCAATTGTCACATCAATTTTAAATTTCTTACTCCTACACACTATAATCAATTGGACAAAATATGATACCATATCCTGGCATTTCCCTCAAGCACTACAACATTACATAAGACTAAACAATTCAAACCTTCCTATTAACAGAAATCAGCTTTTAAAAAATATTCCATAAAGCCCATGTCTTGGTCAACTTTGTAGCACTAATGAATGTTCTTTCATAGTTAAAAATTAGAGAGTGGTACCCAGAGTATGTAAGTTGAAGTCAGGGAAAATATTTTACAATGCACACGTACATGCTTTCTGTTGATGTATGTGCATGCTGGTGAGCTTCCGTTACAACAATGCTGAAGCTATATACATTAACAATGCCCTATTACAGCAGCTGTTTAGGAACTTCATTTGAATGTGTAAGTTTCAAGAGTCAGGTGTGAGTGGCACCTGTAAAGCTAGCTACTCRAGAGGCTGAGGAAGGTGACTGCGTTTGAGGCCAGCCTAGGGAACTTAGCAAGACCCTGTCTCAGTGCAGCGGGGTTGGGGGAGGGGTGTTCTACAAGGCTGAGACGAAAATGAAAAGGGCCTCCAACTCCACCAACTCCACACTCTTTATTGAGGATGTTTGCTCAGAATCTCTTTACTCTTGCTTTGCACATAATTCTAAGGTACTTGGCTAGTAGAACTCAAGGCTCACAACAAAGTAGCAGAAGAAAATAAGGGGAGAGTTCAAAGTCCCTTGTTTGCATCAGAACCATAGTGGGGAGGAGACCTGGAACCAGGTGCACAGAAATGGACACTGAAAAGGGGATCTCAGGTGACTCTGGGAATGGCAGGAAGACAAAGGAATGTCAGAATAAAAATCGCATGTAGACCGAGGTACAAGACTGAAACACTGAATCAGGTGAGTTGAAGCCAGGTAAAAGAAGAGTACTTACAAGGTAAAATAAAGTTCAGAATCGACCTGTCCAGCAGGTCTCCTTGCTCAGACCACTTGCCCAGGGCAGAACAGCCTTGGGTCTGTCTCAGTTCTGCCCTCCTCTTGAAGTTCTCTGAGTCCAACAAGAAGGCACTGCATTCCCCAGTTCTCTTCATTTGGGTCTGAGGCAAAGCAAATATCTCTGGGTAATTCATTTATTCGTTATTTATTCATTTAGTTTTAATTGTGCACCTACTATGGACCAGGCACAATGTCAGGGGAAGGAGATACATTAGTGGATAAAATGAATTTTGCTCCATGGAAGTTAGAGTCTACATGGAGAGAAAACAAAAGTGAGAGGCGTTCTAAGAAGGAAAGACGAAGGACACAGAGGTAGACACAATTTGTTTCCTTAAATGGAGTGGTCAGAAAGGCCTGTTGAGGTAATTATGAGCTAAGACCCGATAAGACTTAATCACGTGGAGACCACCATGAGTAAGTCTGTAGATTATCAACATTCTTGAAATCATTGACTCATGGCAAGGCAAAGTGGAAGAGAGGATGGAAGTTTCTTTGGAAAGGTTAGGTTCCCTCTGAAGGGCTCTACTAAGATCCTGATAGACCACTCAGGTTGCAGTCAGTCAGTCAGTCCACACATACTCTAAGTGAGAGATGCCAACCTTGAGCAATAGTCAGGAGTATACAGTGTAGAAACAGGGCTGCTGGAGGACAGCATGGGGATCTGGAGCCTAGTCTACCAAGTCCCTGGGATCTTTATTTTCAGCTCTTCTCAGGAGGACGGTTAGTGGGTTCCAGCAGCAGGGCTTTGGAGAAGTAAGGAGTGACCATTCAACTTCAAGTGCTTGTTTAAACCAGAACAAGCAGCCTCCAAAGTCAAAAGTCCAAGCCTGGAGTACATGCGGTAGGCGCACACCCAGCCCTGTAGAGCTCGGTGATGTTGCTCCTCTCCACAGAGGCCTCTGGACACGTCAAGTCTGCATCTAGTTCACTATGGCTAAGGAAGCCAGGGAGCGTGCTGCATTTCACAAAATTCTCCACTTAAAGTGTTTTTTCACACGGTACCTAGAGGAAAAATTCTCATTTACTGGATATGGGGAATTTACCTCTCCAAGGTTTTGTTCAGACAACTATCCTAATCCTAGGTTCCCAAGGGACTGTGACCAACCTCTCACATTACGCCTTACCTTCAGAAGTCACTTTACAGTCTACTGCTAGTTGTCTGGGCCCGTTTGAAAGCTCCAATTAATTCACACAGTACGAGCTGGAGCGGGCGCCACGGCGACGCTTCCCCTCCCTGACTTGCTTTTGTACATTTGTTTGGCTCCCGTTGCTGCGGTTTAGTGAGCTGCTAGGCTACCCTGACCGGTTCGCGTGGAAACCATCACGTCCCGAAGGACTGACCGGCCCCCAGCGGCGGGTCCAGCGGCTTGCTCAGACCTCACTCGAGCCCGCGCGGCGCTGGGAGGGGCGGGGCCCGACGTCGGGCGTGGGCGTGGGTCGGCGTGGTGGGTGTGACAGGTGGGCGGGGCCTGAGCGGGCGGACGCAGGCGTCGGTGGGCGTGGGCGTGGCTTGAGTGGGCCTGCGCAGTCCGCCTTACTCAAGGCGGCGGAGGCGACGAGCTGGAGGAAAGATGGAAGACTTCCAGGCGGCCGAGGAGGTAAGCGCCCGGGGGGCGACCGGAGGGTGGATCCCTGGGCGTGGTGGCGCGGTCCTGCCTGGGGAGTCTTGGCTAAGTTTCTCCGGTGGCTCGCCGGGCTGTGGCCGTCCCTCCCCGGCCGCAGGGGTGGGACGAGCGCCGGTGTCGCCCCGCCGCAACCTGCACCGGCTCCACCGCCGTTGCCTGGCGGGGAGGGGCGCGGGAGGCCGGGACTGCGACTCCTTCCCGCGCGGCCGGCGCCCAGGGCCGCCGAGGGAGCGTCCTGGCGCCTCCGGGAGCTCGACTTCGCTCGGCCCTGTCTTCCGCCGCCCGGCCCCGGGAGCGCTCCGGTCGAGGCTGGAAGACTGGAGCTTGGCATTGTAGCGGACGCCAGGGTGTCCTGCGTGCGTGACAGGGGCGCACAGGGCCACCTCCCAGGCCCTTCAGTCAGGGACTGGTGTGCACCCGTGCAAATAGGAGAACCTGCCTTTGTCTCAGTTCCGCAGCGCTCACTCCCACCCAGGCCGCCGCGAAGGAGTACGTTCCATTATAGTATGAGTTTGAGAGGTTAATAGTCCATTCTTGTCGGGGGGGGGGGGAGTCTCTTCCTGCTCCAAGAAGGAGGGTCAAAGCACACCATCGTTTGTCACGCAGTAGTCATTGTAAGGTGTGCTGCTGTGATGGCTTTTCTTCAAACTGACAAGCATTCAGGAAAAAGCAGATAGAACAGTTGCTTATTTCTTCTTGCCAAATAATCCTTGCTGAAATTCAAATAGAGCTCTATGTTTTATGCAGCCTGTCAAAAATAAAAACATGAATTTGGTAAGGTTTGGTATTTTGCCATTTTTTAACATTTCAACCAGGAATGTTTTGATAGGTAAATAAAACTTAAGGACTGAGCCTAGAGTTTGTTACATCTGGTTTCCTGGCAGTAACTTTTAAAGCAATGCCATCAGTGTTTGAATGTTGGTTAGCAACCAAGTAGATAATCCTAAGCAGCCAGGGTTCAGAAGCCATGAGCAAAGAAGCTTTTCCCTGTAAACCACCAACTAATATAGGATTGGAAAATGGCTTGTATAATAGTAACATTGAGTAAACCTTTTAAAAGGGGGGGGTACTGTGAAGAAACCCTTAATAATGCATTCTGATTCTGGCTTTTATAGTGAGGTGGCTTCATTATTTCAGAGTGCAGTGGCATGTCTGTAAAATGAAGGGGAGCACCTGGTTGGATGAGACGGTGACTGTCTTGGTGTTTACTAAATTGGCCATTCTAGTCCTACCAGCCTCTCAAGAAGCCTTTTCTGCATATCCTCTAACTTCATGTGGATTCTACTCCTAACTCATTCATTTTTCTCATATAAGTTGAAACTGTCCAGTGGATTCAATACACCTGCTCTACTTTCCACTAAAAGTTCATTAAAATCTCCTCTACCCTTGGCATACTTTAACCTTATCTAAAATTATACAGGACTTTACGTTATGGTTAGGATCACTGTAATCTCTTGGAAGGGTCCTTTAAACTTCCAGAAATGTTTTGGTCTCCAAGATACTGCACATCTTCATTAACTTGGTGTGATTGGGTTTGTTTCCAAGTCTGACTTTTCCTGAGTATAGCAAAGATACACTTTGGGCAACCAGCTCTTATTTCTAGTGAAAAGAAAGAGACATCACTAGAACAGGGCAGAGCCCAAATGGTCACCAGACAGTCAGGTGAGCAGAGCTAGATGCTCTTATTCCACCTGCGAAGCACTCTGACTGAGGGTCCCTGGGGCTGTCCTCTAGGAGGCATATCCAGAACTAAGTACTGTTCCTAGGACTCAACAGTGACTTTAACTGCTCATTCTCCTGTGAGGAAGCACCTTGGCAGGCAGGTTCCTGACTGATGTTATTTTCAGGATGACCTGTAACTATGAATCTGCCATATATGAAAAGGAAATAATACTTTTGGACTAGATTGCTGCTGACAGCCCACCTCCTCAGTCAGCTGGTTGTGAAGTGGTACAGCATTCAGAAAAATCATTATCCAGAGATAGTGCCATCATTTTAAATTTTATGGTTAATAGTGGCTTTAAAAAAACAAAACCAACCTCTGAGTTTTAGGCCTCCTAATCAGTTTACATTAGGGAAGAGAGAATTACATCTTTTAAATGGCTTGCTTAAGTTGCATCAATTAATTTATATAAAAATTGAGTAGTTGGGCTGAGGCTGTGGCTAAGTGGTAGAGCATTTGCCTGTGCACATGAGCCACTGGTTCAATCCTCAGCACCAGATAAAAATAAAATAAAGATATTTAAAAAATTGAGCAGTAACCATCTATACTGGTTAATGATCCTACCAGCCAATTGAATGGGAGATCAAATTCTAGATCAGACATAAAGCGGGATCTGAGATTGTAGCATGATTATAACAAACAATAGCAACAGAACCTTTAAATTATATACATGTGTTCTAGTCCTGCAGCTGCAGTCACTGGCTCTGTGATGCTCAAGGACCACTTAATGTTTGAGTCTCCTTGTAATGCATTCCACAGTAAAGTGAACAGGCTAGGTGAGATAACTTCTAAAATCTTCATTTCTATATTTTGTTACTTAAATTTGCATTTATTGATGCAATAGAAACATCTTTTGAATAAATCAAACTTATCTAAGTTTTCTTCCCTCACAGACTGCTTTTGTTGTTGATGAAGTGAGCAACATTGTCAAAGAGGTAAGAGGAGAAATGCTTTCTTTTTAAGCATTTGATTAATGACTTTTATGAATGAAAACACTATATAAGTTAAATATTTGGGAATATTTTCAGCAGTTATTGAGCCTKTGTGTTCTGGCATTTCAAATAACATTTTTTCCTTCATTATTATTTAGATCAGAATTATTCCAATATTGTGTAAATTATATGCATTAAATCAGGAAATTTTATGTGGCATATTACTAAATGTTACCAAGGCTAAATTCTATGACCTTTTAGCATAGAAAATTCATGGCATACAAATAACTATTTCTAGTGTTTAATGGGAGTGAATGTAAAGGAAATTTAACAACTTTGAGTTAAGAACTGGTGATGCAGTTTGGGGCTTAGTCAGTTATTTTTCTTACCTTCCTAAACTACCCACATTATTGTTATGCAGAATAGTCTCTCCCTTAAAGGATGAGGAGGATGGGACACAAAAGGGATGTTGAACTGCCTTCATTCATGAGAAGTACACGTGGAGGGAGCAGCCAGGGACTGACCCACCCTCCTGGAGTTTGCAGTGGGGGGACGGCTTATCAGATACTTGTGCTGGGACGTTGGAGCTTGCATTTCCTGTGTGCACAGTGCCACAGGACTTGGTGCTGTGAGAGCATTTACAAGGGGATTCAACCTAAATTGGGGTTAACACAGTGGAAAAATGGGAACACCACCTCTGGGCTGTGACAGCGTGTGCAGAAGCTCCAGCTGTGGGGGCTGAGCATGGAGTGTGAGAAGGGGTGGCAGGGTGCAGAGCTGGGGACTCTTGGGACAGTAATGAAATCAAAAAGGTTTTCCTAGTCACTTCCTGCCTAGGTAAGATGGAGCACAGATGTTGAGCCACTGGCTAAGGGAAAGTCATTCAGTAATCTAACTCTAAGGGTACCATTTAAGGGTTCATATGTTAATTTACTGCTAATGCAAATTATCGACTAATGCTGGAGTAATAAAGAACCACAACCTGTTTTTGTGAAAAGTATCCAAATGCAAAGTGATTTTCTCTTTTACTATATACATTATTTAACATCAGGCATGATTTTCTCATTTCTTCGTGGGGTCTTTAACAATTTGTTTTTCTGACAGGTGGGAGCAGGAAGGTGTAAATTAGACTGGAACTGGGAAAAGTGGAGGCTTGTTAGGTTCTAATGTTGCCTCCTTGTTTCTTGAATTAACTTTGACTTGCTCACCAGGGAGCAAGAACAATGGAAAGTCTAGGTCACCACCCCACAAAGAAGCCTGGGGTGAATAAGGCCAGTGTATCACTGGCCTCAGTGGCATTTTTGCCCTGGTAACAGGTTCATTCTCTATTCAAGCTGTTTTAAATAATGACAAGTTATAATTTGGACAGGTCCAAACCTGAAGGAGGGGTTTTCCCCCTCCCTGAAAAAGTGAATTTCAGAGTGTGTGTAGAGTTGCCAGATTTAGAGGTTTGACTTGAACAATGTCTTCCCTTTTTTTGACAGTTTCCAGGTCTATAATGCCCTAGTCCCCCTAAAGCAGAACTGCTGGACCCCCACATACTCTGAGCTAGGTGGAGCAGACATGGCAGTGGATGAGGAACCAGGAGCTGTTAGCAACTGGATAGATAGGAAGATAGATAGATAGAGCGAGCCCTGGATAGATAGGAAGAGTTGGGGGCGGAATGAGGTTGTGACCCTTTGTAGGTTTTTATTCCTCAGAAGCCTGGTCGCTGGCCAGGTAACCACCTGTTACCTGGTGCTGTTTCACCACCACCTGCATTGCAAGCCTTGGACTGTTGGCTCTCTCTGTATGTCTGAGGATGGAACAGGCCCTCACTGAATGTTACTTTTATTTTAGGTTATAACTGTCAAAGAAACTCAGGTTTCTGGTTTCTAGCACAACAGATTAGAAAGGCACATAGGCCAGTGTGAAAGGGAGCTGACAGGGAAGAATCCAGAAAGCCACAGGACGGGAATCTCATAGCAGTAAGCTTACTAGCAGGAGCAGGGACAGTGGGCCCTATCCTAGAACAGCCCTAGAAGAACAGAGCGCAGAAGAGGGAGGTTCAAAATAAACAATGTCGTCGCAAATGTTTAAGTTTTGACATGTAAGGGCTGTTCTTTAGCCCTATAAATGAACGAATCYTTGTAATTAAGAATAAACTTGCATTTTACATAAATATTATTTCATTAGCTCCTAGAATGGTCTGATGTGGTTACTAACTGGAACGTGTTTGGGGCATTCTTTAGCTGACTCCTTGTGCTTTGTTCTCTAGGCTATAGAAAGTGCCATCGGTGGTAATGCTTACCAGCACAGCAAAGTCAACCAGTGGACTACAAATGTCGTAGAACAAACCTTAAGCCAACTCACCAAGCTGGGAAAACCATTTAAATATATCGGTAATAGACTTTTGTTTCTCATATATTTGTTGGTGGTTCTTTAAATACTGATCAGAGGTGTGTCCAGTGCCAGAAAAGAGAGGTAGCTTGGCAATTTAGTGCCTAACTTCAAAGAAAGTTCCTCATAATAGGTCACTGGCCTGTTTGGCTGCTGGTACAATTTCAAGGTATACATCTGTCTGGAAACTTTTAGAACAAGTTATGTTGTAAAAGAAGAGAAGTATGGAGCTGGGGTTGTGGCTCAGAGGTAGAGCACTCGCCTACCATACGGGAGGCAATGGGTCGATCCTCAGCACCACATAAAAAATAAATAAAATAAAGATATTGTGTCCACCTATAACTAAAAAAAAATTAAATATTTAAAAAAGAGAGAAGTATGTAATTTGTCAAAAGAGAGTAGGACAAGGCAGTCTACCCCTGTCATTTTTACTATGAACATCGATCACATGATCTATGTACATACATTAAAAGTGGGAAAAATGAAATTTATGTTGCCAAGATTTTTCTAATAACTCTTTGTTTTAATTTAAGTGACCTGTGTAATTATGCAAAAGAATGGAGCTGGGTTACACACGGCAAGTTCCTGCTTCTGGGACAGCTCTACTGATGGTATGATTTTTCAACCACATTGGTGAGGTCATGTTGTGCCTTTTCCTTGAAAAAATTTCAAGTACCTGCTTGGACCATGCTGAGATATATATTATTTAAAATAATATATATTATAGGAGTGATTGATGAACTGTGTGCTTGGGCGTGTTGTGTCTTCCAAGGCATAACTTTACAAGTTATCCTACCTGTTATGGAGATTTGCCAGCCTTCTTTATCTGTGTACCATAAGGAGGTGGGTACTGGAGTAATGGCGTTGGTGGGAGAAACAGCCCCCCTAGTTTCCTCATTCTCAGTGCTGATATTCCTCTCCCCCCACCAACCAGGGAGCTGCACTGTGCGATGGGAGAACAAGACCATGTACTGCATTGTCAGCGCCTTTGGACTGTCCATCTGACCTCTTTGTCCAGCCTGTGACCTCTTTTGTCTCAACATTTCTTTTCTATTTTCTAACCCACCATGAATTCGGTGAACACCTTTCTCTTGTGTTTTGTAGCACTCTCAAAACGTAGACAAATAAACCAAATGACTGCACTGTTATATGAACTGCATATCCGAAATCAGATGAATAATTCTGTAGGTAGACTGGAGTTTGTATTGCCACTTGTCTTAACTCTTATTTCTTTTCAAAGGTGCTAAAAACTGAAATCTGCTAGTGGGAAACTCTTTACTCTCTGAAATGATTCAAATACACTAATTTTCCATACTTTATACTTTTGTTAGAATAATAAATTATTCAAATTTCAAGTCTGTTTTTCATAATTATATTAGTGTCACAAATTCTTCATACTGGGTTAGTGCATTCAGAAATCTGTAAGACTCACAAAAGGAAAGTTGCCTTCGGCTCTTCTGCCACCCTGAGAGTGCACTGAGTGTGTTGGAGGTGCTCCCAAGAGCAGAGCATCAACAATGCTGGGAAGAGAGGTGAGGCCAGGTTCTTGGTAGGCTGGGATCCAAGGTCAGCCACTGGTTACTTACTGTGACCATGAAGTGTGAGTCCATTGGTGAACTCGAAATCACTAATGTTCACAGGCAGGTTAATCAAGCAGGCAGTGACAAGCCCCAAATTATCTAGGAAAAGGGAGATCTCCAGCCACCTTGTCCGTTTCAGTTCACTGGACTGAAAACTTCRCTGGCATGGACCAAGATGACGAAAACAGGAGGGAAAGTCCTGGGATTCTTTTTCTAGGGATGCGATACATACAAATAAAATGCCTTGGTGCATCAATAAAAACAGTTGCTTCTGTACTTTGGTCCTCCCCAAGAGGAGGATTTGTTGCTTTCACCCACTGGACCAGGATGCTGACAGTGCTGCTGGGTTCTGGTTAGATCTTCTGCGAACATCGCATCCCTTATTCCTAAGTTGCCAGCTTCTGGAAGCTGAGAGAGAGGTGGGCAAGCCAGACACCTGGCTCAAAGCTGTGTCGTTACATCTTTACTCCCATGTTATTTTTCAGTAGCAATCACAGAGTGTTTTAGTACTTGAGGGCTTACAAAATGCTTTCACAGTTGGTCACTTTGTGTCCACAGCCATTATGCAGCTAAGCCAATATATGATTTTAAAGTCATATGTCTAAGTAMGTAGAAGGGTGTGCCCAAAGCCCAGGTGTCTGTTGTCTTTTTCGTAGGTCTCCCACAGGCCACAGATGTGGTAGTAGTCAGACATGGTAATCRTAACACTGTTGTGTCTATCTCCTGAAATGGGGCGGGCGGAAGCCCTTGTACTAAAACACTCATGTCTAAAAGGCYAAACATGTCTAAAAGAGCAAACAATCAAGATACATATAAGGATTGAAAGCTAAAAATAAATTAAACCGAATAAGGCCATTCCCAAATAGTAAGTTTGCCATAAATAAACATTTATTGACATTTGCCTGATTGATTACATCCACTCTGAYCAGGTGGCCAGGAGCACTGTGCTCCACTGACAGTTTCAAAGTGTAATACATAGTTCTTTCTTTCTGACCTTAAAAGTTCAGTGTTTCATTTTTACAAATATTTACAGGTTGTTTTTTTTTTTGTAAAAAGGAAGTTTTCAGTAGCAGAAAACCCTTTCATAGTGTATATTACACCAGTGCATCCAAAACCCCAAGACAAGATAAACTGCTCAACAGGATGTCACAGATTTTTGGCCTGAAGAAAAGTTTTCCTTTGGCCTGAAGAAAAGACTTATATTTTCTTTTTTCACGCCCCCCCCCCAAATCTAATCTCTAAGGCAACTGGTTTCTGAAACCCTCAAAATACACAAATACACCTTAGTATCTTTATCTGATCTTTAACAAATGTTCATGGAGTAGTCTCTTTTAATGATCCCTTTTGTGGGTATATTTTTCCTGTGAAAATGATTCGGGAAATAAGGTACTGGCCACATTATAACCTTTATCATAACTATGCCTTCAATAAACAGTTCATCAAAAACTTGAGGCTGGTGACATTTGTCTTGTAACCTGTCCAGCTAATGCGCTGAGTTTACACAATTTTTCTAACTTACTGAAGTCTGTAATTATGTATAGTCATCACCTTATAAACCTTTAATATAGTTCATATATCCCCTTCTCTAGAAAGAGAATGGCACCACTTCGCTGCTGGAATGATTTAATAATAAATCAAGCAGATCTGTTATCCATGTGGATAATGAAGCTTTCCCTAGGGAAACCAGGAAATAGCTCTGTTCATCTTCCAAGTTCCCCTAGACTGGACCAATATAAAAAAAAAATCCCAGAGACGATGTTATTTAATCCATTATCATGAAAGCATTAAAGTCAGCCCATTTATAATTTAAGGTTGCAAAACTTTACTATCCTCTTAGAAAAACAATTTTGTTACTATCARAAGTTTCTGGCAGACTTTAGTGTTTTAACCCAATACCTATGGCACATATTCTACATGTTTAGTGCTTTATAAGCAAATTTTTACATGGAATATATAATGTGTCAATATAACACCCAGGAAAGCAAAATAAAAAAATGCATGATTTAATAAGCAACCATTTTCCCTTAAGTACTAATATTTTTCTTGTTTACAACATAAAAAATACTCCCATACTTTCTTTCATTGATGCCATGAAGAATCAGTGTGTGACAATATTAGCCATCAGTTTATAATCACTACATGACAAAGACAAGCCTAAAAAAGTTCTGTCTATGGGTAAACCTCAATATCTTACATTTACTGATAACAGCATTCCAAATCATGGATAATCCTTTTATAATGATTAAAACAAACTACATTACATAATATGTTAATCAGCACAAGTCAGTCTTTATCAATATACATAAAATTATAGTTGGAGTAGTCTCAGTAGGAATTGTAAAATTTGGTAACAAACATTTCAGTATACAGAATCAAAAAGTCATCACAGCATTACAGATGTAAAAATCATGTAAACTTGAAATACCCTTGCAATAATTGTTTTCAAACATTCATATTTACAAGGTGTTTAAAAACAAAGTAAATAAAATCCATAAAGTACATTATCATTAAAGTTTAAAAAGGAAGTCATAAAGCATAGTGTCCTTCAAGCATCTCTCAGGTCCTAGTACCACCTGAGGTGGACTGTCACCTGTGGCTCTGGATGGAAATATGAGAGTTGGTGCATAGATGAAGGGACCGTAGGTGCTGCCTGGAGAGCCGGACAAGCAACTTCTGGGCCTCTGTGTTGGCCAAGATGGCAGCAGATGGGGGATGGTCATAGTTATCACTGTTAACAGACATAACTGTGTGTGGCCAGGAGGAGCAAGGGAACATCAACTGTCTCTGACAGAAAGGAAGAGACCTCTGATGCCCAAGCTTTGCCAGCACCAGAGATGTCTATTTTCCATGGGGCAATGTATCTGCTCACCTGGCCACTGTGAGACTCACTGGAGCACAGGGAGTGACTTCCAAACAAGCTACCTCTACCCAAAGATGTGTTTCCATAGCCATTTAAAATSTCTTACTTTCTTTTCATCTAGTTCCCAAAGAGGAAACTGAAAAACTTTTTGGCAATAAAGAATCTATAACAATCATTCATGTAGCTTTTATTTAAAAAAATAAAGCTCTTTGGGGCTTCATGTTCAACTAAGTTGCAGAAACTATTTATTAGAACAAGAATGGCTACCCTGCTGTCTACCCCGACCACAGGGATATCCGCCCATCTCCACGTCTGTACAGTGTGYGCACACACCCTGGGAAAGCACCATGGCACAGAACCTCACCCACAGAGCTGGTGACCTGCAACTGTCCTTTCTCATTCAGCTTATCAGAGCTCCTCAGAACTCACTTCTGTTGTCACTGTCACCTCTGCTTCAGTGGCAGTGAAGGGCTGGAGCCTGGCCCCTGCCTTTCCCCAGTGAGATGTGCTATACATGGCTCACCCAATGCAATAGATGTGAAGGTTCCAGGGTCTGGGGAATCGAGGGCCCTGACCACTGCCCAGGGAAGGACTGCCCAGCTGAGTGGCCACAGAAACAGGCTTCACTTTAAGTTAAAAAAAAAAAAAAAAAGGTACCATAGGAAATAGAGGGAAGGAAGAGGAAGGTTTCCCATGGCTCAAAATTACTGAATTATTTTAAAAAACAAAGTGCGTAACTACTAAAAATGGGTAATCTCTCACCACTGAAAACATGCTCTCCCATCTGAAATCTGTAGAAAGGATTTGGCTTTTTCTGCTTTTTATCAGCCTTTTCCCATATAAGGAGCATATGTGACCCAACATATAAATTTTCTCTCAAGGTTTGGTTTTTCTTTTAAAAATATGTAAACAAATAAGGAACAGGGAACCTTGCTTATAAGAAAGTCTGAACATAAGCAGGTCGAAGGGAGGCCAGGACATGGTCACTGAAGGAAGGCGGCCGGCCTCTGGCCGCCCTGCCCACTGCCTGGAGCTCAGTCGCTGTCGGACTCCTCCTTGTACTTGGCCCGGATGGCCTGGCCGTTCTGCAGGGGCATTTCTTCATAGTCACTCCTGTCGTGAAAGAGACCTTTGACCATTCTACCTGGAGAGCTCATGACCTCACTGTTCTGGAAGAACCCACTGCACAGCTTCCCTCGGGTGTTCCATCACCACCCCTCCTGCCACTCCTCACCACTGAGCCCCTTTCCTCCTGGCCCACCATGCACTGCCAGCCTTGTGCACAAAGAGGCACTGCTAAATCTAAGCTCGGACCATGTGGAAACAGAAAGCCAGGTGACTTCCTAACACCCCGAATGGAATTTTAGACTAATAACTACAAAGCCAGATGGAGATGCTCCTGAGATGGCCTTCAGAGGACAGTGACTTACCCATAAATCACATCATCATCAGAGTCATTCAGCATGGAAAAGGCAGGATTGTCTTTCAGCTGGGACTCTGAAAACCAAAAAAGCCTTTTTATCTTTAGCAGTTTGTTATTAGCCCAGAGAGAAGTCTGAGGAGCCGGAGCCCAGGCCCAGTCCTGTGTGTGTGTGTGAACCTGAGCAGATCTCCGCATGAGTCTCTTTTCTCAGCTACAAGATGGCTGGCAGAGCCACCTGGCAGGGGCATTGTGCAGGCCCAGTGAGTGCCTCTAGAAGAGTAGGCAAAGGCAGGTGCCACACACGTGATCTCTTCCTGCTCACTGTTCTAGGTCTACACAGGCAGCGGGGGACGGGAAATGGGCTCCTGGAGCTGTGGCTCTGCCCTGTTTGTTCCCACCCTGTCCTGGACCTACAGCAAGCTCCCTCTCTTCCTTTGTCCTAAGGTCACCAAGAAGCTCAAAGGAGACGCTGTCCACAAGGTGCTGCGACCTTGAGCACAGCACAACACAGGCGTCCATCCCAGCAGCTCCAGCCCAGCTCRTTCCCTGGGTGAGGCTGCTTTGTTTTGCTTTTGGCACGTTTTGGTTTTGTAGGTTTTTGCTTGGCTTTGAACAGTCACGACACGAGTCTTCAACTGACTATTTCAAATGGCTGACGGACACAGGCTCAACATATGCTGCGCTCTGGCAAAACTTCAGCCTCCCCATTTAAATTGCCTGTCTCTCTCTGACCAAAGAGAGGGCACCATGAATCTTCAGTGAAATGCCCATGAACCAATGGACACTTTTTTATTTTTTATTTTATTTTATTTTTTTTAGAGAGAGGGAGAGAGAGAGAATTTTTTTCTTAATATTTATCCTTCAGTTTCTGGCGGACACAATATCTTTGTCTGTATGTGGTGCCGAGGATTGAACCCGGGCCGCACACATGCCAGGCGAGCGCGCTACCACTTGAGCCACATCCCCAGCCCACCAATGGACATTTCTGTTTCAGTTATGTGCCTGTGACCCAGACCCCAGGGTGACTTACCATACAGAGCATTCTTTGATGGAGAATACACAAAGGCCAGAGTGTAGAGATAAAAGTTCAACAAGCCATAGAAAGATAAGAACTCAGCTGGTGGTGCTCGTCAAGGGAGAAACAATCTGTGAGGACACCTCGCCTGGCGTCTTTGCCTTCAGTCTGCCCCCTGCCATACACCAAACCTCTCTAGTGCTGACCACCAGCCAGCCTGGGAATCCACAATCCAGATGTCAGGACTTCACACAGGTTAGGAAACAACAGGTGAGCCATGACCTCTCCTATCACTGGGACTGGCCCACCAAGACCACATCTGGTGGCAGTTCTCTCACTGCACTAAGGAGTGGAGGGATTGAGTTATATGTATGCAAAGTGGAGGAAGTGAATCAAGGTCTCCAGACACAACCATGAGGTGCAGAGCTGAAGCAGAATCCAAAGCGGCCATTCTGAACTGTCTCTGGACTACAGGCCCCTTGGAGACTCTGATAAAAACTTAGTGTGGAATTCAGTCAAAAACTTGAAAAGCCATGCATTATTAATTCTAAGGACAAAGAGGTCCCTGGACAAAAACCCACTGATTCCCTAAGTGTCCCCATACTGCTGGGGACAAAGCGCGCGTGCGCACACACACACACACACAGACCTATTATCCACATTAACGAAGACAGGGAAACTGGCCTTGGATACAAGAGAATACAAGGAGGTCCGAGTATTTTATAAGCCCTTCCTACATCCACAGGCCCAACCTGCCACATTGTCACACCCTGTAGAAATGACATCTGGGAGAGAGGAAGCTCCAGCAGCCCTAGAGTCCCTCCCGGGCCCTCTGCTGCGGGGAAGGTGGCGGATCCAGACTGACCTCAGGTTCGGAGCCAAGGCTGCGGGTCCCTCAGCTGCGGAGGGAAGGTCGCGCAGTACAGAGGACAGTTCCGGAGCACTGGGTTCAGACCAGGCTCTGCCACATGGTGACTAACCCCGGGTATTGGCTTAGTCCTACCTTGTCTGAGCTTTCTGCCTGCAGAGGGTGAGTGACCAAGTCAACCTTCCCAGGACTGACACAAACCAAAACAAAGAGTGAGAGCTGYCCACTTAGCATGAACTGCACACAGGAGGTCACAAGGCCTCCTGAGAATAAGTCAGGAGTGMAGCGTCTCCTCCAGAGAGGCCAGAGCTGGACAAATGCTCAGAGGGCATTCTGGCACCTTGCTSTAGGTAAAAGGATATAATTCTGGTAGTGAGTTGACAGTTCTGCTACAAAGTTGTCTTGCAACACTTGTGCTCCAAACCTTAAATAAAGGATGATGATGCTGAAAAAGAGGGGCAGAGACATTATGTGAAATACAGAGGTGGCACTAGCTTCATCCAACTCTGTGCTCACCACTGATACGCAGCACTATTCCAGCACGGAAACTTCTACACACACACACACACACACTCTACTATTCCAGCATAGAAACTTCTGCACACATGCCTGTGCGCGTGCACACACACACACACACACACACACTACTATTCCAGCATGGAAATTTCTACACACACACACACACAATCACCCACTTCTTGTTTTCGTCTTAGATCTAGGAAGGCTTGACCTCTGGCCAGCTGTGGGGGTAGAATAAGCTAAGTCAGGCGTCAGGCTCCCCTGGCAGCCTCTGATCTACCCACCTCCCCCACCTACCTCCCTGCTCACAGCCACCCTGTTTAATAAAAACAGTCCCTCCGATTCCCAGCTCAAACCCCTCGAAAGTTTCTCATCACTGAAAATAAAACCTGGACCCCTCTGGGAGCCTACAGAGCCCACTGCGACCTCCAGAGGCTGCCTGACCACCACAGCCTCCTGCAGTGCTGCTGGGCTGTCCCCTGCCAAGCTCATTCCCACCTCAGGCTGCCCAACGTCAGGGCRCCCCCTCCACCTTCTCAGAGCCATCCCTACCCCTGTCACCTAGAGGAGCCACCTGCCTCTGCCATCTTCACCTGCCTTGTTTGCATGGGCCCTTGGGCCACTCAGTCCCTTGGTCATCACCTGTCTTCCTCTGTGGACTTAAATGCCATGACAATGTAAGGAGTTAGAGGCCAAATGGGTTAATACTTAAAACACACCTGCACTACTCTCTCCATGTGAACTCAGATGTTCCCTTAGAAGGGCAAGCTGCACTCCCAGTTGGTTCCCCTCAGCAAGCCTGGGATCCCCAGAGCCAGCTTAGAAACCTGGCAAAGGCCAGCCCCATAGAGCCCCTGTGTGGCCCCCATCCAGAAAAAGGCCAACATCCGAACCACCAAAAAAGAAATGCAGATAACCAGATTTCTCCCCACTCTGAGTCTTGATTTGGGGACAGAGACAAAACTCTAAACAACAAATGACTACCTGGAATTTAGTCAAAGAAACAACTTCTGCCCAGGAGCAGGGGACCTCCTCCAAGCACGGCCTTTCTCCCTGGCACAGGAGCTCCTCCTGCCTGGCTCCTGCCCCTGAGGGACCCACTGTGCTGCTCTACCACATCTGCTGTGTTTGAGCTCTGTCTCGCTGTGCCACAAGTGCCGGGGTCTGGAGTGTTCCTCTTGTCACCTGGCAGGCTCTAATTCCAACAGGTGATGGCAGGCTGCACACCCAGCAGGTGTCAGAGCAAGTAGGGCGAGTGTCTGAGGTTAATGTGCTGCCTCCCATGGACGTTCACAACAAAACTTATGTGGCCACAAAGAGCCTGAAGAGCTCCACAGAGGGAGACAGACACTTGAGACAGGAGTACAGTTCAGTGTGACCATGTTCAAAAAATACAGTCTTACCTAATGACAAGCACTACAAAGGTCAACGCTGTCAAAAACTTTAACCTGAGATCTGAAAAGAAAAGAAATACTCCCATTAGCAAATTCTGTTTATCTCACAGATCTCAAAAACAGTAACAAAGGAGAGCCACCCCTCAGAAGCCCCCACCCCTCAGAAGCCCCCACCCCACCAGGGCCTTTCAGCCCAGGCAGCTCTGAGCTAGCAGGGCCAGCTGGCTTCCAGTGAGCCCCCGCCACACCTCTCTGGTGGGGACCAGCTAGGGAAGGACCCACGATCAGGTGACTTACCCTGACCTCGGCTGAGGGGGCACCATAGGACCAGACCAGACCGCGGCAGCACTAACCACTATCCTACTTTATCTAAATCTGGGAGTTTCATTCTCCAATACCTGTCACCAGGATCTGTCAAATTTTGAGCCCTTTTCCCACAAGCCCTTTTCCCACCCCATTGCTCTCCCAGTGCTGGCTTCCACCCCAAATGGCCAGTCACCCACTGGGCCTCTTGCAGCCCCAAGGCTCCCTCAGGTGTGCCCCTCACTGGGACYGAGCGGTCCCTGAAGTGGTGCTCACCCACGTAAGGCATGTGGCGGAGCTCCGAGCACGCCCGCACCACCAGGAACAGGAGGTATGAGATGTACACAGCTGCCACCACCATGAAGAAGACCTTCATTCCCTGGAACACAGGAGACGGCGCTTGGCGAGGACGCCCGGGCTGCCTCCTAGCAGCACCCCACAGGCCACAATGCCCAGCTTGCCCAGGAGGAACCTGGAGCCCTGAGACCACTCCAGATGCAGGAGAGGAGGGACCCCTGAGAACAGACAGGGACCCCCAGCCTCACCATCAGAGGAGCCAGAGCGACACACTTGCTGCCCTGTGGAGCCTGGTGCCTGAGCAGGTTCAGTAAGCCATGGCGGCCACTGCTGGCCTCACCCTGCGTGGGGCAGCCCTGCCCTGCGCATGAGGATGGAGGTTCATGCCCACCACCACCCAGGGCTGCACTCTGAGGGTCCTCGGGCAAGTCCCAGGCTCTGGACCTTGGTTTTCCCATCTGTGAAATGAGGGGCCAAATGGGACGCTCTTCAAGGCCTCTGGTGGAGGGCTCGCACTCACGAAGCTCTGCTASGGGAAAGCTCTCCCCTCTGAGGGTGGACAGCTGTGCCCGGTGGCTGCAGGGAAGATCACTGCCTCTGGCCAGGGCCAGGGTCCAGGGTGGTCCGCACTGAGCCCTTTTCCCCCAAGTCATAGGCTGCCCTGGGTGGGGACTTCCATCCCTTCCTGCCTCCCTGTGCCAGAATCCCCCTCTCTCGGCCATGTCCTGGGGACCTAGACTGTAGGCAGGGACCCAGTTCTGATTTGCCCAGAGGGACCCGTGTGGCTCTGGTCTGGCCTCTACTTTCTCAGCTACAGAATAGAAGGTACCTAGACAGCTGTCTCTATCCCCTGCCCAGCAATCTCTGACCTCTGTGTGTCTCAGGAACAGATGCGCCCTCGCAGTGGCTCTCCCCACCATCTGGATGGGAAGGGAAGGACCAGGCAGGGGCCTCAGCTGTACCTTCTGAGAGCCGCTGCTGGGCCCAGCGCTCTACATTCTTGTCTAAAGAGAGGACTGCATTATTGTCCCACTTTACAGACAAGAAATGGAAGAGGACCTCCCTTACTTACTCCCTGATGTAAAAAATGGGAGAACCACGGCAGCACAAACCACTATACTACTTTATCTGAATCCAGGAGTTTCATTCTCCAATACTGTCACCAGAATCTGCCATATTTTGCCTATGGGACATGTCAGAGCAGCTYCTTCTTTGAAGTTCCTTCATGACCATCCCCCACAACTAGAAAACCTCCTCTGAGGCCCTGATCTTTCAGAGAGCCTGGCTTGTGGCTTCACACAGTGGCAACTGCCTTCCCCAGCCAGCCCAGGACTGAGTGTGCCCTGGGCATCTCCCTGTACCCGGGCCCTCATCCCCAAGGTGCAGCCGCAGTGCTCCCTCCATGTGGATGGCAGTCCTCTTCCCCAGCCCCAAATGCCTCTCCTTCCCAGCTCTGTGGCACTGTGGCATTGCTCATGGGGCATCCATTCAGGAACCTGCGGAAATCCTCCCATTTACAGGCACATAAGTGCTCTAGGCACCACATCCACTGGATTTCAGTTGAGAATTGGACATTTACACTATTTTCTAGGACACATATGGTCTCCAAACAAGTGCAGCTGGTCAACACATGGCCACCCACTACTCTTCAGCCTCCTTCTCCAAGGCATTTCCACAAGGCAGCACTGATCTCACCCCCTCACAAAGGCAGCCCTGCAAGGCCACCCCGGCAAATGCTGTGGGTCAGGCAAGGCAGCAGCAGCTCTGTGCGGAGCCACGCTKCTCATTTCTGCCATGGGGAACTCTAGAAAGTGGCCTTCAGCACTTCCTGGTCCCCTGTCCCACATGGGAAGAACTTCAGGGCAGCGACTGGGTACTACACAGGCAACCTCATGCTCACCTGTGACACGCCCTGACCACACCATTTACCTACTCATGAAAACCTCCATGAGTAGAAACACGTGCAGAAATATTCTATTAATTATTCTAAAATTTTACATACCCTCCATGTGTCCTGGCACTTCAAACAGAAACCAAAGACTGGGAGTTGAAGCAGTTATTTATTTATTGGTACCTGGGATTGAACCCAGGGCACTTAACCATTGAGATCCATCCCCAGCCCTTTCTTYTATTTTACTTAGAGACAGGGTCTTGCTGAGTTGCTAAGTACCTTGCTAATCTGCTGAGGCTGGCTTTGAACTCACGATAATTCTGCCTCAGTCTCCCAAGTTGCTGGGATTACAGGCATGCRCCACCATGCCCGGCTAGCTTTTTTATTTTTAATATATTTTTTTTGGTAGTTGTAGATGGATAGCATGCCATTATTTTATTTGCTTACTTTTGTATGCGGTGCTAAGGATCGAACCCAGTGCCTCACGCACGCTAGGCAAGCACTCTGCCACTGAGCCGCAGCCCTAGTCCCTGAAGCAGTTTTAAAAGCTTATTTTTTATATTACTCACTTTCCCCAAACTTTCTACTTCTGAACTTTAGATAATCCTTCCCAAATAGCCAGTTAGCAAGATCTCGTCAACAGTATGAGTTAAGTTATTAAATTCAGTCATTTCATACACGACTTTTTAAAAAAATTTCCTTACTCTTCATTAACAATTCTTACCTGAAAATTTCCGGTGTCAACTCGATACTGGTACATTGGATCATGTAATTCATTAACTCTAAAAATGATGTTTAAACATATAGATTATTAATGAGCTCTTCTTTTATTTCTTATTTGGCCATTTTATTTTTACTTATCAACATAAACTATTTGCTACCAACAATGAAGGATTTTTAATAAAAAGCTATCCTGAATTTATGAGGAATCCTAAATTGTATATTTCACCTTCAAAAATCACTCAATACTACTAACTGTCCCCATTCTCCAGTATGGTGACACGTAGTATGTTTTATTACAAAACCCCTCTGCCATTTCTCTTGTCAGTTTAGAGCTGTTTTTGATGACGTACCTGGGCATTACACAATAGGTGAAAACACAAGGAAAGCAAAAAAAGGTGAATTTCCATGAGATTTCTTTTCAAAATGAAAACGGCAGGGGAACTGATGGGGAAGCAGAGGCAGGTAAGTGGGGCAGACGGGGTGAAGTCATAAAGTGGGGCCCACCGGCCACAAAGCCACACCCCTGCAGGGAACTCCTCCAAGGACAGTCCTCTCTGGGAATCAGGCCTTCACACAGGCTTCTGCCTTGGTGCCATTTACAGTAGGACAATGACACTAACAAGGAGAAACCCGGAGCTTGCGTAAGGACTGGAACATAAAAGTGCAAGCCAGGCGGGAGCCGACAGATCTGCTGGACAGTGCAGAGCCGGTCCTGGTCTCTCTGAAGGAGAAATCTAACTGGCTCAGGCTTTCATTTCCATCTCCACAGCAGACTTTGTCTCTGTGTCTCATTAAGCCATTCGAGCAGAATTGATTCCTCAGTCCCAGTCRCACGGCCACCCGGGAGACACAGGGAGAGGATTCCTTTTTGAAGAGACCACAAAGTACAGCCAGACCCAGGTCTGCTGGCCTCTGCCAGTGCTCCTCGGGACCGTGTTCCACATGGACTAGAATTACTCACGTTTGCCATATTCCTAGTGTAACAGAAGCCAGCCACAAGAGTCCCACAATGAAGAACTTAGGCAAATAGAAAGTTAGACACTTTCTTTCTCCCTAAAAAGAAAAGAAGGTAAGAAATAGAATAATTCCAACAAAGCACTAACCCTCACAGAGCACATGAGGTCACAGACATGCAAGCTGCTGACTCTACAAGGCTGAGGGAGCATTCCACAGCTCCACGCACCTGAAGGACTGCCATCAGGGTTTGGAARGAAAGGCAGGCCTTTCTGAAGCTTACCTGGACCCGTATTCCGTGGTACACACACAGCCAGAAGAGCAGCAAGGCACACAGGAACACAGACTGGAAGAGGTCGTCCAGCATCCCGGGGAACCAGCTGTTCACCAGGAAGGAGAGGGGGAAGAACGGGTCTGGAAGGCCAAAGACAGAYGATAAAGGCCACAGAGTGGCCCACACCCTGCAGGGCACTCACCCCTGCCAGGCCATACCACTTTCTCCCTGGTCAGGGCCAAAGGAAAGGTAGTGAACCAAAGGCCATTTTGTTTTCAAAACACCTAAAAGCCAGGAACAGATGGCGGCAGTGCTCTCGACAGAGAGCCGTCTGGCCTGCTTCAGCTCCTCCTGCAGGCCCGGGAATTCCAAACACTGCAGTTCAGGAAGTAAAATGTTCTCTGGAGCAGCAACAGAGACAGCCAGCCATGTGGGCAGCTTCAGCCGAGCTCTGGGACTGCTGCGCCTGCAGCTCGTCCAAGTCTTAACTGGGAAGCAGCCGCTGTCGGCTGCAGAGCCAGGCATCTGCCACAGCCTGTGCAACACGGCGTCTGGGGGCAAGAGCATGCTTCTACACGTTCCTCCAGGGGCTCCCCACAGGCGCTTCTGGGGACTCTGGGACCAGGCCACCTCCAAGACATCTGCCACCTTTAAATGTGAGGGCAAGTTCCAAGATAAAAATGGCACCTACCGTTGTAGAGCAGCAGCAGCGGCAGGAGGACAGACATCCACTTCTGCTCGATGCCCCAGTCTCTCATGGAGAACTTGCGCAGGGAATGTGCAAACAGGCACTGCGAGCCAAGCGAGGCCCGTGACCATCTGCCCACCAGCCTCCCCACCAGGCCAACCTCCCCTGCAGAGGCCTGGACACCAGGCCAGAATCTTTGGGTGACACCCTGGTTGAGTTGAAACTGAGGTCCTGGAGGCCATCAATGACCACTGCTGCAGGGGGGCCACAGGCCATTCTCAAAGAGGCAGGGGAGAAGGAACACAGCAGCWTTCAATTCTCTGCCAAAGGAAAGGGTACCAGCCCCTCCCTCCACCTGGACAGGCCGCTTCTGTCAGGCCCGTTCCCAGATGGCAGCTGGCAGGAGTCTCCGGGGCACAGGGACATCTGAGGAGCCTACCAGGAGGCCACACACCCAGGAAGGGAAACTTGTACAGATGGTGTCTGCTTCCAGAGAGGGTGCTGGGCTCCCCGAGGAAAAGTCAAACCCCTTGTCAGAGGAGGAGTATAAACTGCTTTAAGACATTATGCTCTTGTGACATCTAGGCCTGAAGTTTTTAAGAATTTTCTGTAATCTAACATAGGCCAATGATTTTCAAGGAATCCATATTTCATGGTTTGAGGCCATTTCCCTCCACCCAGGCTGGCATCTTTTTATGGAGCACACTTAGGGCTTCAAGTGCCAGTCTCTGGGCCCGACTATGGCAGTAGAAGTCCAGGCACAAGGCAGGCCTCAAGCAACAGTGAGAGTCTCTGACCAGATACAAATGYCCGCGGCCCTCTGTACTTAGGAACTTCTCCAGGGGAGCCCTGGGAGTCCCCGAGGCCCCAGGCCTGGCACAAGCACCCTAAGTCCAGCTCCTGGCCGATGCTCGGGCCCATGCCTGCCTCCAGCCCTTCTCACATGCCGGTCAGTCCCCTCTATCCTGCTCATCACAGAGAGTCTGCAAAGTACCAACTGTCCTCAGGTGGCAGCTGGAGGGGCTGTCACTGTAAAGAGTGACACACATCCTACTGTCCCTCCCACCACGTCAGCATCAGTCAGTAAACGCAGGTCGCTTCCTCTTCCTCAAGCTTCTCAATCCCTATCCAGGGCACCCCGTGTTCCCAGGGGCCAGTGTGTCCCCTCAAAGTTACAGGGTATTTGTGGGACAAACACCTGGCATCCTAATAAGCCAAAAGCCCACACTTCTAAAACCAGTTCTCTATGACCTTATTCCTGAAAAGCCCAATGTTCCACACACGAGAGCCCCAGAGTGTGCTGTGTCCGCACCAGAGAAGGCAAATAGGGCAGCTTCGATGGCAATGGTCACTGCACAGTGACAACATTACCTGGACATCAGCGATTGAATGGCTGTTAACTGTACGGAAATCCCCACTAAACACAYCACGTCGTTCTTGCTGTGTCAGCATCTTGGCAGACTCGGAACCTTTAGTGGCATCAAGCCGGCTGCTAGATGGCAAGTCTTGGAGCTCTAGCCTGCTCTCTGATGAATCATAACTGCACAAAGTAGCCTCGTCCTTCCCGGCCAGGACCTGGCCCCAGCCCACCAGGAGATGGTACTTACCGTCACGATGAAGGTGAGCACCACGAAGACAAAACGGAACCAAATTTCCAGCTTGGAGAACGCAGGGTCATAAGTCTTCCACTGAGATAGAAAGTGGGGAAGCAACTTTAAAAACAAAACACACCTAGGAGGAAACTCCCTCACCTCCACCAGAAGTCACTCCAGGTACACAGGTGTTCTCGCCTTTTGTTTTCCTACATGTTGCTAAATTTTTTWWAAAAAATTTTAGTTATATATGAACACAATATCTTTATTTATTTTTATGTGGTGCTGAGGATCGAACCCAGTGCTTCACAGGTGTGAGGCATGTGCTCTGCCACTGAGCCCCAGCCCCACGTTGCTAAATTTTAACTTCGTACTTCTTACTTTTATGTTAAGAACAGAGATGTAAAAAGATTAATTATAAAGAACATAAAATAGTTTTAAATGATAAATATAACAGATAAATTCTCTAATAATAAGGGCATTTGGATTTTAAATCTCATATCAAAAACCAACCTTGTCAGTCTATTATAAAAAGCCACGCTTCCTATTAAAAGAAATAGATTTTTATAAGGTGCAAAGTGTTAGGATTTTCTAGAAAAGTCTAAGCATGTTTAGGAATCTGAAACCAGAAAAGTCTGTGGTTGTCAGCTGAGTGCAGTCCCTGTCCCCCTGTGAGCARAGGCTGCAGGCGCCACCTGCTAACCGCAGGGGGAGCAGAAGACAGGCAGCCCCTCAACCCAGTCACCAGCCACATTCCTAACTAGACCCCAGAGCCCASCCCTGCCCCGGGCCAGTGAGCCCTATCCATGTGTCCCCCTGCTGGGACACTCCTCCTCACAGCCTTCCCTCTACAGGTCCTGTCAGCTGAGGAGAATCACCATGTGCTCCTCCAGCGTCCAACCCAACAGCTGGACCTGCTATTCATCTGTGCCCAGGCCTGAGAGGGAAGCCAAAGCCCAGAGAACAGGCCCTCAATGCAGATGCCAGCCCGCCACCTGAGATGGGTCAGGCAGGTCAGGGCCAGAGGAAGSAAGGGAGGCGGAGGGCTTCTGTGGGCGCAGGAAGAGCAGAGGCAGCTGTGGGTGTTTCCAGGCCCACCGTAGGGAGCTGATTCTATGCAATTCACTGTGGGGTTTTGTTGCTTGGTGTTATGWTCCTAACCCCAACAGATATTTCTGAAAGTAAAAAGTCAACACAGGAAATAAAGCCTAGGATTCCCAGAAAAACCTCGGGCTGCAGGACTCCGAATCTTGAGCCCTGCGTTCCACACRCTTGCTTTTGCATCAAGGTTGCTGGGTCGTCACAAAGCTCGTCTTTGTGCTCCAGAGACTGGGCTTGCCTGTGGCACGTGAAAGTACACTGGGAACAAGCGCCCACGTCTTGCCTAGGTCACCAGTCTCCGGGCGGTGGCCTTGGTCACCAGCCCCCCAGGCAACACTCCTCATACTGTGTGCAGCAAACAAAGCCAGGCCCTGTGCAGACGGGGATGGGCGAACTTTGAGAAAAACAATCAGCCAGACTGTCCCTAGGAGCTGGCCTGCCCCTCCAGCAGAGTCCTTGGAATGGGAAAGCCATGGGAACCCACAGAGTGAGTGTCAGGGAGCCTCGGTCAGGTCCAGCAACCTGAGAAGCACCAAGCAAAATTCCCGGAATGGGGACCCGGTCCTGAGGCTCCCAGTGCCGGCTTCCAGGGCTTTTAAAGCAATAGGCTAGATCCCTCGGAAGAGGTCGGGGTAAGATGAGAACTACCAAGTACAGACCAAGAAGCCGGCAGTCCCTAACTAGGCACTGCCTGCTGCCAGGCCTCTCAGCAGACATGGGAGGCGGCAGTGACCACCAGGGAAAGGACTGAAGGGCCAAGAACTGGGGCTGCTGTTCTCATCTCGTCCCCTGATCAAAGGTGATGGCTTAGGAAGGAAAAGGAGGAAATGTGAAGTGCTGACTACAGAGTGTCACTGCAAGGTGCTTAATTAGAGGAAACAATGCCCAGCTGCCCGTGAGGACCCAGGGTGCTAAGAAACACTGGGTGACGTGCAGAGAACCACAAAAGCTCAAAAAAAAAAAAAAAAAAGGCAGGAAGATGAGTAAAACTGGTCTGCATGGTGTAGAGGCCTACAGCCCAGGTGAGCGTGAGCACAGTCAAGACCACCGRCTGTCTACAGAAGGTGTGCCGTCTTGTGAGTACAGCRGTCCCCCCAACACCCCACCTTATCTGCTGCTTTGCTTTCCATGGTCTCAGTTGCCCTCTGCCAATCAGAGTCCAGAAATATTAAATGGAAAACTCCAGAAAGAAACAATTTCATAAGCTTTAAACTGTGCACCACTCTGAATATTGTGGTGAAATCTCCCACTGTCCTGCTTTGCTGCACTTGGGGTGTAAATCATCCCTTGTCCGTGTGTCCATCCTGCATTATCTGTATATTAGGAAACAACCCAAACAAAATGTGGTTTATAATGAAATATTATTCAGCAAAACCAAACAATGGAATGGAGCGCTGAGACCCTCATCAACCCCGATGAACCTCAAGAACATCAGGTAAGAGAACAGCCAGTCATGCAAGACTCCATGTTGAACAATCCTCATCACATGATAGTCCCAGCCAGGCAAACCAGAGTCAGAAGGAAGATCAGTGATTAGTGGCTGCCAGAGGCTGCGAGGATGGGAAGTAGGAATGATTGCTGACAGGTTTCTCACAGAGGCGATGGGGATGCTCTGAATTGGTGGCATTGGTTGCACGACTGTGCATACTAAAAACCACTGAATCACACACTTTAAGAGGGTAAATTTTATGATCTGTGAATTGTATCTCAATAAAGCCCTGATTTAAAAAGAAAATATAAGCTGGGTACAGTGGCACATGCTTGTAATCCCAGCAACTCCAGAGGCTGAGGCAGGAGGATCACATTCAAAGCCAGCCTCATCAACTTAGCGAGAATCTATCTCAGAATAAAAAATAAAATGGGCTGGCGGGGATGTGCCTCAGTGGTAAAGCACCCCTGGGTTCAATCTCAATGCCAAAAAGAAAATGTACCCATTGGCAGCGTCATTTAACTTTCGTAACACTAGGAGGTAGCTACCTTYCATAAAAGGAAGCATCAACAAAGCTGAACTAGTCGGTGATGCAGCCAGGATCTGAATGCAGTTCCTCTGTCAAGCTGAAGCCCTGGGGCCTAGTTGCTCTGCTGGTTTTTTGAAGRAACAGGAGGCGGGTTTCAGCTGGATATGCGTAAAGTGCAGTGCCCTCTCCTCACTGGACCTTCCAGCAGGCTGATGACCACTGACAGGGGCTGAGCAGGGAGTCCTGTTTTTGCAAGAGGGAAAGTAACCTTCCAACTGGAACACTAGTACACTCTATTTTAAATCTCAGAGCACCTAAGGTCTTTGCAATTCCTGTGCTATTTCTTTAAGCTGTTCTTGATTCCAAGTACTTAAGAAATTGTGGTTTTCTTGTTCAAAATAGCCTCTCAGACCTTGTGATAGGTTTCACTCAACAAAGGAGCCAAGAAGCAGGCAGTCGGCTGAGTACTTACCGTGAAGTTCATCTCCTTGATGAGCTGCTTCAGGTGCTCGAACCCCACAGTCACGGTGTACTGAGTGTAATTTAAGTAGCCGAGGTGAGCCACAATAATTTCTGCACATTTCTGCAAACACATGGAAGATCTGTGTTTTTAAAGCAAGTGAGGAGGACTCACCCACCAACTGACCCACAAGTAATGACTCAACAACAGATGAGCAAGACACATCTCCCCGGAGCTCTCTAAGAGCCAGGAAGTCAGATGCCAGCCCAGACAGTTAGTTCCTAGAAAGCATGTGCCAATTGGTATATTTGGAAACAATATATGATCTACACTAATTGGAGCTGTCCTACTTTGCATGATTGAAAATATGTCACCTAYATAAAAATGTTAACCAAGCAACGCCGCAAGCCTGATGTCCCTAAAGGCAACATGGCACAGGGAACTGCAAGCCAAGACACCACAGATGGGACACTTGCAGATGCACTGGTCCTGGCCTACTTTTGAAATCACTGTAACCATACACAGAGCGGTGACATCTGTCCCTCCCCTGTTTTAGCCTGTCATTCGCTGCTCAGCATCCTTCCCCATCCCACCCCACATCAAAAGCAAAGGCTGTGTGGACAGCTGCAAGTGGATTCTGTGGAGACTTAATGGTTTGCCAAGAGCCCTGTCCTCTTGTCCTTCAGGATTAAAAACAGGGTCTCCTCTATTCTGCTGTCCCTTCAGAAGCAGCAAGCAGGATGAGCCTTTACTCTGGGTCACAGAGGTGTACGATACTCACTAGCCAGATTCACAAGTCACTGACTTCTGCCGCTCTGTCCCAGCCAAGCCACACGGCCAGCCTGCCCTTGACCACCACTCTACCACCTGAGCAAATGTGCTCTCCCTGTGCCACAAGAGTACAGCCACTGTCCAGAACTTCTGTGGCTTCCAGGTGGCGCTTGCTATTGCYGTGCTCTGAACAGGGCAGTCAGCCCACAGTTGTTCAGCCTCTACTGTTTGAAGACAGAGTAAGAAAATAGACCCAGGTTTTACATAAGAAGTCTTCAAAAGATGAGAGGGCAGCACAACATGGTGGTCTCGCCTGTAATCCCGGCAACGCAAGAGGCTGAGGCAGGAAATCACAAGTTCAAAGTCAACCTCAGCAACTTGGTGAGACCCTCTCTCAAAACAAAATAAAAAGGTCTGTAGCTCAGTGGTAGGAAGTGGGTAAATATCCCTGCACCATAAAAATGCTATGTTTTCTTATRTCAGGACAATGCTTCTTGTAGGGTTAGGGGGAGACCTGACTTGACAGGGAACAGAAGAGATGTTTCCATGGGTGACAAGTGTAAGCTGAGACAGGGCCACCAACAGGAGTGGGAAGAAACACGAGGGATACTGGAGGGTCACCCACAGGGTGCACTGGTAGGTGTGTGTTGTGGGAGCAGTAGGATAGCACCGCTGCCCTCAGCATCCTGGCTCTCCCCAAAGCCGGGGGTTCAGTGGGTAACCAACTGGTCTTGGTTTTAAAACCAAAACCCCCTGAGTTAAGGCAACCGCAGGTGACCAGTCACAATAGGAGGAGAGGCAGTCTAGCAGCTGTGGCACAGTCTCCCGTCTGCAAGGCCAGTGCTGGAGGCAGAATCCTCATTCCTGCCTGGGGAAAGGAGAAGACTGGCTGCCTGGACAATGGTCCTTTCTAACGCAATGTGACTCAGCACCTCCTGCACCCAGGCAAGGCGGGGAAGTGTGGACACCTCAGACTGGCACAAACACCCCACAACCTCTCGTGTGTTGTTCACCTTGATCTCGCCGCTCCAAGACAGGCAGGAGGCCTAACTCCCACTTCCAGGTGTGGACAGTACATTCCAGAAGCTGGCTCAGGTCACTCACACAGGTCAGAGGAGGAAGGCAAAACAGAGGTCAGCTGCCTCTGGAGCCCTCTCTAGATACTACCTGTCCTGGAGGGATGCAGCTGTGGCTGCYGAGGTCAGCAAAGCAGGGAGCTGCACTCTGTCACCCAGCTTACCTTTCCAACAGCCAGGGCCCTCGGGCCAGGTTCTGACCCTTTTCAGTCTCTTCTGTTAAACATCAACAGAGAAGGGCAAGAGGAGGTGGCTAGCCACCAACAGCCCCCCTGAAAGGACAAACAGGCTCCTGGTTCTTACTGTAACCAACCAGGAAGGATGCATCTCGGTTAAGGCCACCAGCTTCAGGACAAAAGAGGCTTAGATCCTGGTTCTGGCATTTACTATCTGTGTCACCTCAGGCAATGGCTTTGACCTTTTTGTATAAAATGGGCTCTACTACAAGTTCCTAAGCTGTGAGCCTGCTTGAGGACCTAAGGATGTGTGTAGGGAAAGCCTCAACACACCGCTCCACACACTGGGCAGCTCCTAACCTCCTCGTCCAGTCCTCAAGCCAATGAACTGCCGCTTTGGGTTCTCTCCAAGTTCCTCCTGATGCCAGTAACCTGGGGAGTCTGAGGCGTCCTCCCTGCTATCTTAGGGAGAGGCTCCACAGAATGCAGTGCCAACAAAATGAGAAGCCAGGCTCACTCCTCCCTGGATCCTCAGGAGGCCTGCCCTGTAGCACAGCGCACCCTGAAGTAGGTGCCCCAAAAGGAGCCCATCAGCYTGTGTGGCCTGGGCACTCTGGATCAGGGTACTCTACACCAACTACAAGTGATCTGCAGCCCTGTGATGGAGAATGACACAGCCCATCCGCATCCCCTGTGGGCACACCAGGCAGTTAGTTACGTGAACAGCAGAACAGTGTTGAGGGTGCTCAGGGTGGGCTGCGGGTGAGGGAGCGAAGCTCACTACATGTGTCTGCATGTGTGTGTGCACCTGGGTGTGCACGGGCGTGAGTTTCTAGGAGCATAGCACATGAGGTTAGGCGAGTCTTTCATGACCTTCGTTTCAATTTTCTTTCTTTTTTTTCTTTTTTCTTTTTTTTATTACTTAAGAGTAATTTTTCAAAGTCTCTGGGCTCTGCCTTCTACCCTGGAGAAGCAAGTCTGTGACAGCTGGGGGCTGTGGAGCCGTCCACACACTCACCCCTGCACACGTGAGGGTCCTCGTCCGATTGTGAACCTTGTTGTGAATGTACATGGTGGTTCCATCCTGGGCCACACCGTTGACTTTGACAGTCATGGAAAAGCTTGTCTGAATAGAAGTTTCTACAAAAGAAAGAAGTTCAGTGTCACAGACCACCTTGGGCAGTACCACCCACTGACAAAGGTGCCTGCGGGGCTCTGCTGTGGCCTTGAGCCAAGCACACATGAGAGCCCCAGAGCGCACTGAGGCCACGCTACCCTCTGCCGCCTTGAAACCTCGTATTGCCAGGCAGAGGACAGCCTGTCCACTGGAATCTACTCGCCCAAGACCAAGTGGCCTGTGTCAAAACCTACACCAGATCATCAACCATTCCATTTCACATTTAAGGGGCTTCCAACTTGTTCCGATTGTGAATGATAATGAATATCCCTATATACCTATTACCCTTATAGACCTATCTTTTAGCACACGTCCAAGTTTTTAAAAATCCCACCAATCTCTTAAATATGAGATTTGGTACCTGAAATGGCAGGTTGCATACCTTCTGAATGATCCAACTCAACAACACATGTCAGCCACAGTTGCTGATTATATGTAGATAGTGGATTCGAACGTATTTGAAYTGGCTTTAGCTAAAGCAAAAAAAATGAAAGAAATTAAGTAATCCATGTGACCTCCTCATTGAGTCTATCAACTATCTTAATACACCGTTCACATTTGCCCTAAAAGGCTTGAGCAGTAGTTCTGAAACAGAAATACAGAGTTTTCCTTTGGACAACCTGGTGAAAAGATGCCTTCCAGAACAAGAAAGATGCCTTCCAGCTGCAGCCCACCTTCATCTCTTCAAAATCTCTTAGCAGGCAGTTTCCACCACCTTGAGCCTTGGGGGGTGCACCTACTAAATACCAAGGAGGCACCAGTGTGGAGAAGTGGAAAGAGCAGGATGAGGAGACACAGAGTAAGAAAGGACACCAAAGAAATATTCCACACTGACAAGATATGTATCTTGGTGATTATTTCTTTGGAGTCAAAAGGCCAAATATAGCACTGTTGATATCAATTGTTTTCAGCTTTATTGAAGTCTAACTGTCCCTGGAGAGGAAAACCAGAGAAGACTATGCTGCCAGCCATCTTTCCACAATGTCTTTTGAAGAACATAATGCTGGTGTCTAACAGCCAGGTGCCACCTGTGACCCCAAAGAAAAGCATCATTTGTGGCTGAGGTTGTGGCTCAGTRGTAGAGTGTTTGCCTTGCATGTGTGAGGCACTGGGTTCAATCCTCAGCACCACAAAAAATATAAATAAACAGACAAATTAAAAGAAAAGAAAAGCATCATTTGARGGCACCACCCTTACTGGTCGATGTGTGGTTCATATCTTAATAATTCTGTCAGGGTCCAAGAGAAGCTCCCTGGGACCAAAGCCTTCCCTGAAAGCCACCAGAAATTATATCCATCAGAGGAAGAGATACTGACTTTCTTTTTCCTCCCACCCTGTTATGGTTTCGATGTGAGGTGTCCCCCAAAAGCTCACATGTGAGACAATGGAAGAAACTTTGGAAGAGAAACGATTGGGTTATAGCCTGAACCTAATCAGTGAATTAACCCAAGTGGTTCACTGGGAGCATGGCTATGGGTATATCTTTTGTAGCTGGAGCAAGGAGTCTCTCTCTGCTTCCTCGTCACCATGTGAGCTGTTTCCCTCTGCCACACTCTTTGCCATGATGCTCCACTTCACCTTGAGCCCCAAGGGACAGAGCCTGCTGTCTATGGATTGAGACTTCTGAAACTGTAAGCTCTCAAACTTTTCCTCCTTTACAATTGTTTTGGTCAGGTCTTTTAGCAGTGGAAAGCTGACTAAAATACACCCCCGACCCCAGGGACTAAACCCAGGGGTACTCTAACACAGAGCCATAGCCTCAGCCCTTTTTATTTTTCAGGACAGAGTCTCACTAAGTCACTGAGAATGGCCTTGAACTTGTGTTCCTCCTGCTTAAGCCTCCCCAGGGATTACAGGTGTATACCACTGTACCCAGCAAGGTCCTGTCTTTCTGAAGTGAGGATGGTCTCTGGGAAGCAAGTCAGTCAGTCAGTCTGGTGAAATGACTGCTATTTTCTGTATCAAAGAGAGACTGATACCCTGACAGACAGCAATTAAAAAGACCAACTACTGCCAGGTGTGGTGGTGCACACCTGCAATCCCAGCAGCTCGGGAGGCTGAGGCAGGAGGATAACAAGCTTAAAGCCAGCCTCGGCAATTTAACAACACCCTAAGCAACTTAGTGAGAACCTGTCTTAAAGTTTAAAAAAAAATAAAATAAATAAAAAGGGCTGAGGATGTGCCTCAGTGGTCAAGTGTCCCTAGGTTCAATCCCTAGTACAGAAAAAAGGAAAAGAAAAAAAAAAAAAAAAAAGACCTACTGTCAGTAAACTCCTTGGGAACACCTCTCCACATTAAACCACTGGCCCCAGAGTTAAATAAAGGAAAATAAAGAAAATGCGAAGATAGGCTAAACAGGACAACAAAAAGAACTAAGAGGTCTGAGTTTTGAGACATTTATCTTTTTTTTTTTTTTTTTTTGCATTTTTTGAAATGTAGTTTTTGAAACCTTGTAAAAGTAAAGCTACAGGGAGGTGAGAGAATGGGAAGCAGGGATCTGGGAACAAACAATGAGATTTAAACTGTCCATGTTACAGTGCCGTAAAAGCATAGGACAACTGGGCCCCATTCACGGTTAAGGGTTAGGGTTGACAGCAGAAGAATAAAAGCTTTAGCTGTCTGGGCTTTTACAAGTTGATATTTATTAAAGTAARCCAAAATTCTCCAAATGAGAGAACCTCTGTTTTCCTCTAAAGATGGAGAAGAATCAAGCCTTGTTTAAGGGGCTGGGGGACTCATTTAAGCCGAGTTCAAGCAAAGCATACAGAGGCTGTTCCCGATAGAAACCTGATGCAGAACAAGCCCAACCTGGACACCTAAGAAGAAAGGGTCAGCTACCTAAGCAATAGCTGTTAACACATTCAAACAGGACTTACAGATGCAAGGAATTGGGAGGAGTTAACCCCCTTTGGAAATAAACTGCTGCTGCCTAAGTAATACCACCACACTTCTAAGCACTGAGGTGTTTCCYATAGCAGAAAAGGTGATTCTGACAGACAAGAGCCCCAAGCTGGCAGCTCAGTGAGAGGCATTGCTGCCTGAGAAGCAGCTGCAGGTCAAGGGTATCTGTCTTCAGGACTCTCTAAGGAGAACCAAATTCCTCAGTGCCCCAGAAATTCATAATGTCCCAACAGCTGCTTCTTACACCCAGGCTTACCTTTTTGCTGTTATTTAGTGAAAAATTCGCTGCAGAAGTCTGGATTACTTTGGGTCCTGAAGCATAACAAAGAGAGGGGGAAAAGTGGGTTATATCTATATTGTTAATTTATTAATTTTTTCTGAATGCTAAGACTCATACATTATGCAGAGGCATCTTATTTCCCTGCCTTTTTTTGAGAGAGATTTTATATTCAAGGGTAAAACATGAACACATAGAACAGCCACTCTGCTGAGCACCCAAGGTTGCCTGACCACACTCAGCATGTGGGACTCCATGGGATCCCCTCCAGTGCTCCAGTGAGCACACAATAGGGGGAGGAGAGAAGTTCACTAGATTAGACAAAGGGGGATGGGGGGGGGGGAATAGGAAAGACAACAGAATGAACCCAACACAGCTTTCCTATGTTCATAAATGAATACACGACCACATCATGTACAACCCCCAAAATGGGAAATGATAACTCCATAATATGTATAATATGTCAACATACACTCTACTGTCACGTACACCTAAAAAGAATAAAAAATAGAAAAAAATATTACTTGAGATATTAAAAAAAATTTTACCACATAATCACTACATATTTTGGAAAGCATAAGGATTTCTTCCAAAAGACCAAGGCACTTTTATATTTATCCAATTAGTCCAATCTTTCAGAAATATTAAGTAGGGGATATAGTAAGACAAATATATACTAATATAAGCATAAAAGAACACAACATAAAATTTACCATTTTAACCATTTTTAAGTGTATTTCAGCAGTATTAAGTACATTTGTGTTGGGCACCCATCATCACCCCATCTTCATACCTATCTTGTAAAACTGAAATTCTGTCCCCCATTAAACAGTAACTCCCCATTTCACTTTCTGACTTCTCCACATCCATGTAAGTAGAACTTATTTGGCACATCATATAAGTAGTCCTTTTGACTAACTTATTTCACTTGATGTCCTGAAGATTCACCCATGTTATTGCAATTATCTAAATTTTCTTACTTTTTTAAGGTTGATTAATATTCCATTGTAGTATATATCATATTTTGCTTATCTATTCATCTGTCAATGAACATTTAAATTGATTCCACAATTTTAGTATCATAAATAATTGACCATTTTATATCTCAAGGTCTTGCCTTCATATTTTTCCCCCCCATACTGGGAACTGAATCCAGAGTCTCAGACATGTTAAGCAAGTGCTCTATCACAAAGTTACATCCCTAGCCCTTTTATTTTTTTATTTTTATTTTTTAAATTTTATATATTTTTTATTTGTTTTAATTAGTTACAGTGACAGTACAATGACCCTGACATGTCATACATTTGAACCAGATGGGATATCTCATTTTTCTGAGTATACAGGTAACCTAGCCCTTTTAAAACTATTATTATTTTATTTTGAGTTAGGGTCTTGCTAAATTGCCCAAGCTGGCCTAAAGTTTATAATCCTTCTGCCTCCATCTCTCAAGTAGCTGGGATTACAGCCAGGCTCCACCACGCCTGGTCAGTTCTTTTGAATACATACCCAGAAGTAGAATTAATGGGTCATTTGGTACTATTTGTTTGGAATATTCTTTTCCACCTTTTCACTTCAACCTGTGTCTCTGGATCTAAAATGCGTCTCCTGTACACAAAATATCATCTGGATCATGTTGGTTTTTGTTTTCTTTTGTTGTAGATGGACAGAATGCCTTTATTTTGTTTATTTTTATGTGGTGCTGAGGATTGAACCTAGTGCCTCATGCATGTTAGGCAAGTGCTCTGCAGCTGAGCTACAGCCCAGCCCTGGGTCATGTTTTTAAAAATCCACTCTGTCTAAATCTGGTTTTTTAATCTTTACATACACACACACACACACACACACACACACATACACATACACACTCTCTCACAAAATAATATATAATACATAATATATATATATACACATAAACTATATAAAATAAAATAAAAAGACATTTGTCTTTTCGTTGCAAATGGGACACAATACATTTATTTTATTTATGTATTTTCACGTGGTACTAAGGATCAAACCTGGTGCCTCACGCATGCTACGCAAGCGCTCTATTACTGAGTCACAACCCCATCCCTAAGACTGACTTTTGATTAGATAGTTTAATCCATTTCTGTCACTTTGTTTTCTGAATGCCTTGGGTTTCTATGCATTCATATTCTATGTCTCATAGCTTTTTGTCCCATATTTAATATTCAAAAGTTGTAATATTCTAATTTGTATTTATATCAGCTTGACATTAATAATATACAAAAACTCTGCTCCTTTTAACAACTCTGTCCCTACCTCTTTAATGATTGCTGTCTCAACTGTGACAATTGTTTTCATATATATATATTATTTATWTCTAAAACCAAAATATTTTTAGCACATTAGTCCCTTAAATCATGTAGAAAACAGAACAGTTACAGATAAAAGTTTTAATAATACTAGCTTTTATGCTAATAATTGGTTTTGAAAATGTATTTGTTTTAGATCATCAGAAAACAAAAAGTGCAATCATACTATATTGTCAGAATAACACGAGCTTTTATCACCACCCCTGGAACTGCCTTTACTGCGATCCTGCGGCTTCGAGTCCCTGCCTCGTGCCCTTTCATCTCAACCTGCCGTCCTCCCTGCAGCACAGTTCTTACAGGGCAGTTCCAGCGGAACAACTCCCGCATCTTCTGTTTATCTGAGAAMGTCTTCATTTCTCCCTCACTTTTAAAGGACAGTGGTCAGATACAGGATTCTTCATTGACAGCTCTTTTAGCACATTGAACATTTCAGCTCAGTGCCTATGGCCTCAAACAGGCTTTGGTGCGGTCTCTGCTAACAACCTTACCAGGGATCTCTCCAAGGTGATGAGTCCCTCTGGGGCTGCTTTCAAGATTCCTCCTGTTTTTAGCTTCCTATGATCTGATTTCAATGTGTCTTGGTGTGCGTGTCTTTGAGTTCAGCCCATTTTGGAAGTTTTCAGACACTGTTTCTTCGAATATTCTCTCTGCCCCCTTTCTCTCCCTCTTCTGCTTCAGAGATCCCATGACATGTATGTTGGTTCACTTGATGGTGTCCCATGTGCACTGACCTTTAATCACTTTTCTTTCTTTTCCTCAGGCTCAAAAATTTCCATTGCCCTATCTTCAATTTGCTGGTTCTTTCCTCTACCTACTCAAATCTTCCCTTTAATTCTCCTAGTAAATTTTTCACTTATTCATTACTGTACTTTTCAGCTCTAGAATTTCTTTTTGGCTTCTCTTTAGATTGTCTAGATCCATTTTATGCAAATGCTGTTTCCTGGACTTTCTCCACATCTTCATTTGGTTCTTTCAGCATCTTTAAGAAGTTGTCTTGATTTTTGTCTAGGAGATCAGCATATGGCCTTAGTGACGGATTTTTGTGTTTTCTTCTGTTTGTTTCAAGGAGTCAATACTTTTTTATGCATTATGATTTTCTGTTGAAATCTGGACACTTGAATCAAATAACAAGTTACCCCTGAAAATTAGACTCTCCCCCTTTCCTAGAGTTTTTTGGTTTTGTTGATATGGCTATTGTTGACTGTCTCTGTGCTAAGGATCAGTCTGAAGTATAAACTTAGGGTCTTCTGGGGTCTTTTCTGAGTCTGTGCCTTCCTTGGGCAGGTATGATGACTTCTCAATTTCCCTATATATATAGTTGTTTTTGAATCTCCTGGCTTTCAATATCTGGCTCCCAAAAGGAAGGGGGTGAAATAACARTGGATGCCCACCTCATTGTATCTCTGTGATCAGAAGCAATAATCCAACAATTATAGCACAATATTAGAAGAACAGGGTCGTTTTGCTCATCTTGATTCCCACAAGCTATGCACAGGTTGTTCCAAGAACACATACACAGCTAACCGTTTTAGGGCTTGGGGGCAATGGGCCCCTATACAGTGCTAAGACCTTCAYTGAATGAAATTAGCCACAATTTATGGTTCCAATCCTACACTGGGAGTTGCAAGCCTTCAACTGGCACTCGAGCTCCAAAACAGGTACACAGATTCTGCCACTGCGGTTGTCATCTAAACAGATTCCTTCCTATTCCACCACCTTCCCAAAATCCTCTCCAAAATTTTATTAGCCTTGTCATAATCCTCCAGAACTTTGGACTTAAAAGAAATAGTCAAAGGAGACACTGTGAATCTGATTTTAATGTAATTTAGAACTGGATTTGCTCTAAAACATATCATTCTGAGATGTGATGCCAGCTTCCTGGGGTGCCTCTGTGACCATCCCAGCCTGCTGCCAATAATCCTCCACTTCATTGCAGGCAATGCTGGTGTGTATACCTCAACTAGCACAGGGATATGTCTCTGGAATGTGCTGAGAAGCAAGACTCCCTGTAGGAAGGAGGCCCGTATTCAGAATCAGGCTTCTTTTAAATAGATTCACAATCTGAGTGAACTCCTAACCAGGCAGTCTGGCTTCCAGGAAAGAATTAAGAAATGGCAATCAGAAGAACCAGGACTCTACTCTTTGCTAACTAGGCTTTCTGAGTCTCAATTTCCTTATTTGCAAAATGAGGGGACTAACCCAATGGTCCCTTAAGTACTCTTAACTCTAAAATAAATAATAACCTTGACACATAAAGTAATTAGGAACAGAGTACTTATGATAGTTAATTTTATGTGTCAACTTCACTGGGCTACAGGGGGCCTAGATACTTGACTAAACATTATTCTATTGTGTCTGTGAGGAATTCCTGAATGAGATTAATATTTGAATCAGTAGACTAAGTGAGCAGATTCCAGACCCCTTCCCTGCTGTGGGTGAGCCTCATGAAATCTACTGAAGGCCTAGTAGAACAATATGGCTTAAGGAGAATCAATCTCTCTCTCACTCTCTCTCTCTCTCTCTCTCTCTCTCCCCCCCCCCCCCCCGACTAGAACGAACACCACCAGCTCTCACCTGAGCATCATCACCACCACCATCACCAGAGCAGCAGCAGAACAGCCTCCCCAGCCCTCTCACCAACAGAATGTCAGTTTAGGTAGGAAAGGGGCTCTTGAGGCACAAGTGCCCCTGGGATAGGCCAAGCATCGCTGTCACACTGCAGCGTTAGTGCTTTGGTGGAATCAAGGGCCACCAGAAACCACCCTCAAAGACAATGACAGTTTACTTAAAAGAAAATGAAGAGGTGCACTCTCCAACCACATGGGGGTCCTGCTGCCCATCCTTCAGGCAGACTGAAGACTCCRGGGTTTCTGGAAACCTTGTGAGAACCACTGAGAACTACTGTGGTTCTGTTCTCTGTGGGAGAGGAGCCTGGCCTACCTACAAGATTCCAAAGCACTTTCAAGGCCAAATTCCTGGTGTGGCTTTCCCCCCAAACACCTGCAGCTGGGTGACTAAAGGCAAGGGCGAAGGCAGATCCCCACACTCCCACTTGGATACCATGAGGCTGCCAGCACCCTTCATGGGGCCCTGCTGAGGGCTCAGGGTGTCACTAGAGCCCCTCCCTGCTCCCCGCACCGCCCCTGCTCTGTGCCGTCAATCACACCCCACCCCCGTTCACTGYATCAGGACTTGTAGGTTGCCATCCCCCAGGGCAGCAGGTCTGGATGCCYAGCACAGTGCCAACAGACTCCAGAAGTGTCTGTTGGCCACTAAAAGGTGCTGACAAAAGGCTGACCTGGAGGCCTGGCTGTTATGAGGGGCATGGCCAGGGTCACTCAGCTGCTCACTGCGCCTCCCCCAGGAGAAGAGGTGCAGGAAGAGGCCTCTTCTGGCCTGTGGGCTCCGTCCACACTGGACCTGGTGGGAYGAAGGGGTGCAGCTGGGCAGGCTGAGAGGCAACACGCCAAGGCGGCCGTGAAGGCGAGATGATGGAACGATCCAACACTGAACTTACCTCTGATCCCAACGAAGACAGTCAGGCCAAAACAGAGGAAGAAGACGACAAACACGAGCACAAAGTGGCGCTTGGAGAGCGTGTAGAGCCGCATGGGTGCCAACCTGCAGAGCAGAGCAGGGTGACCCACAGAGCCACAGGAGGACGGCCGCACAGCACACATGCCAGCCCCTGCCAGGCCCGAAAGGCCACACTGGCCTCATCCGCCCACCCCCCCCACCCAGCCCTCACCTCACAAGGACACCTGTTCTGAAACCTGTGACCTTCCCTGACAAAGCAGTCCCAAAGACATCAGACCATCCTGCATGTCCCGGGTCAGCCCCTGCCACCCTGGCCTGCACAGGACAGGCTAAATCCAGCCCTTGTGGCAGAACGTGCTGTGGCTTCTGCTCYCACAAGGTCACATGTCACCAGGTGGTGGGCTCTAACCTCCTTCACAAATCCCACCTCCAGCTGCCGGAGCAGAGCCCCAGTGTGACCTTAAGGAACCTGACTCACTCACTCATACATGTTCAACTCGAGCTGTCCCAGGTATGTCACAGACATGCCCCAAAAGAACGCCAAGGACCACAGCTCGTTTGCATCTGGCCTCCACAAATGCAGGGTCCCTCCTTTGAAGCCCTGTCCTAGTGAAGAGCAGCTGACCTTCATAGCTGAGTCTGCTTTTGACACAATTTACGCCAATGTGGAAGCACACCTACAGTTCCCCACCCACTGTCCAAAGGAAACGCAGAGGGGCACAAATCTTCCCCTGGAACTCCCCACAAAGTCTGAGGACTTCTGGTAACCCTGCCTCTGCAGAGCACTTGGCTCAGCCTTCATAGTGGCCAAGGCGTCCCATGAACACAGCTGTCTGTGTTCCAATTCGACTTAACCTCACTTACAAAGAGACGGCAGGTGGATTTGGCTGGCCCGCCCCTGCCTGAACCCTCAAGAAGCACCACAGACCAGGGAGGAGCCCAGGCTGGCTCTTGCTTTGTTGTGTGTCCACAGTCCCCATGCTTCCTGGCCTTGGGAGCCAGGAGCAGTACAGTGGACTTGACTCTCTCACGCCTGAGACAGGTGTGGCCAAGAATGAGGGAAAGGTCACCGACTCCTGTGCACAGAGGCATGCCATGAATAACCTGTCTCCTCCCCACATCGACTCCAGCTGCCAGGCAGGAGGCTGCCACTCTGCCATGCGTCTCAGGGCGAAGGTGAGGCCTGGGAGCCATGGCCACTCTGACGTGGCCCTACTGACTGCCTGGTGCATGTGTACTCTGCCCCATGGACATTCAGGTCAGGGTCATGGGGTTGACTGAATGATAGACCCAGTGAAAATCCAGGTCCAAACTCTGACCCACAAATGACCTGCCTGGCGCAGATGGAAGCTGGTGAAGGAGCCAGGTCCCAACTCGGAGAGCCTCGTGCATTACAGCTGGAAATGGTCTCCAGGACGGAGCCCAGTCCCTCTGATTTACAGAGTGGGAAATACTCTGGAGATGATAACTCTGCCCTTTGGCAGCACCTGCCACTCCCCTGGAGGGAGGCTCTGGAAAGCGCGACCAAGTTCAAACTTGACACCCACAGGAGAACAAGCATCTCCTCTGTCCCTGCGTTACCAGGGGTGGAGCTATCCCTCAAGTTCCTCACTTGGGGTGCTGAATACATTTCTGTTTACATTCTGAAGAAGGGAAGATTTCTAGGCAACACACAGGGCATTTTCACACAGAAAAAACTACACCAAGCTCAATGGACTGGATGGTGGGGAAATGCAAATAGAGTTATTAGTACTGTACTGGTGTTTTGATAAATGCCAGATTATGAGATGCCGCCACCAGGAAGCTGCCACTCTYGTGTGAACATGAACTTGTTTGGAGAACTCATGCATAGCCATTCATGAGCTCCCCCATCATGCTCCCTTCAGGAGAACCATGCCCCACAGCAGCCCAACCCAGAGCAACACTGAGAGCTCCCCAAGCACAGGGTGAAGGCACACCTGCAGGCACAGTGGCTCACGCCTGTAATTTCAGTGACTCAGGAGGCCAAAGCAGGAGGATCCCAAGTTCAAGAGAAACAGAATAATTGTATTTTAAATTAAGTTTAAACTATAATGTTTAGAGGCTGGGGCTCAGTGGTAGAGCACTTGCCCTGCACATGTGAGGCACTGGGTTCGATCCTCAGCACCACATAAAATATAAATAAATAAAAGATGCAGTGTCCATCTACAACTAAAAAAATATTTTAAAAACTTTAACATTTAAAATACATTATCGACATCCTAAAAGCACCATGACTTAGCATATGAGAACAAAGGCTGAATAAAGACATCAGAACGGGGCATGACAGCACAGGTCAAATGCAATCYGCCCAGGTGACATGCTTCCTTGCTCCTCAGAAGACTCAAGGAGCCAGGCATAGTGGCGCATGCCTGTAATTTCAGTGACTCAGGAGGCCAAAGCAGGAGGATCCCAAGTTCAAGGCCAGCCTCAGCATCTTAGCAAGACCCTGTTTCAAAATAAAAAATAAAGTCCTGGTGATACAGTTCAGTGGTAGAGCATCCCTGGTTTCAATCCCCAGTGCCACCSAAAAGAAAAGGAAAAAAAGGAACCCATCATGTCTTTTATCTTAAAACTTACACTTAACCCAGTTTAATTAGAAAATTTCCAACAGTCACCCAAGTCAATGGAAAAAAGACACAGAAAGCAAATCTCTTAGCTCAAGAAACACGCCCAGGTCACAGCTGCCCACACTTGGTCAGCAGGCTGGAGAAGAGCAGCCACAGGCCTTGCTTTCCACTGACTGTGTCCTGACAAGCAGCAAACATTCTCAGCCCTACCACACTCTGGAAGGCTTGCGTCCAGACCCTCTGCAGCCTACAGTGCCATCAAGGGCCAGGAATGGCCCCTAGACTGTGCCTGGGATCCCTCCATGKTTCCCTCTACTGTTACTTTCTCATCTAAAACCTCTGACCCCCAAAAACAGACTCCTGAAGGCCCAGGAACACTGCCCCTAGCTAAGACAAACCTCAGGTCTCCACTGTTGCTCACAGCAGAACAACAAAAACATTGAGAGAGAAGTGAGCAAGCTTTGCCAGAACTAGCCCATCTCTGCTGTGGGGAGACCAGCCCAATGGCGACACCCGGGGCATGTACTGCTGTCCTGACCCAGGTACAACTGACAGCTCTGCCTCCTGCCAAAGTCACCTCCCGCTGAAATGCCAAGTGTTCCTAACCACCACGCGGACCTAGGTCAAGGCAGGCAAGTCTCAGTGACCAATACAGCCTGTCACCCTCTATGATCAGACCTACTGGAGGACACTTCTACAACCACTAGAGGCCAAACTGGGTTGCAAAAAACTGCAAAGTCCACCTTCAAGAGGCCTCTGAGCCACCAGCCTGCCCAGTCCTCATGTCCACTCAATGCCTTGTATGTCTTCTTGAAATTCTCCAGCCCCAGATGCTCATGKTTCTCCAAACACTGGCTATCTGCTTCCCCTCTAATTGTCCTTCCTACTTTCAGGAACCATCCCTGTGCACCCCGACCTCACTCTAAAATAGTGTCCCCAAAACATCCTCACTCAGACGTCCTATACTTCTTTATGGTCCATACGTTTAAAACAAAACTCACTGAAGAACACGACGGAAATCCTGTACCCACTCTCCACTTCCTGCCTCAATCCTTTCTCCATTTCCAAATCCTAAAACCTCTGAGTCATCTGGCATGTCCTCTCCTGTTCATCCCACACAGCCACAAGAGGCAAGTCCCTGCTTCCCAAGTCCCCTCCATTCCCAGCAGATCCTCAGGAACTCCCACCTGGATTACTGCCACTGCCTTCCAGCTTCTTGGTTGTTGTTACTATAGCCCCCATACAACCTGCCCCCTATAAAGCCTGGGGTGGCTCCCCACCAACTAGGCAAGTGTAGGCTCCTCCTTAGGGCTYTTGAGGTCCTCCAAGTCCTTCCCTACAATCCCAATCCAATCTTCCTACCTCCCTGCATGCACCTGCCTGACTCCAGATTAGCCCTCACACTGTTTCCTGATCAAAAGGCTCTTTTCTCCCTGCCAGCTTGTCTAAATCCTCTTCCAAGTTCAGGCACACTGTGTCWGCCTTCTCGTGACTGCCCCATCTTGCCACCACAACAGGTGTGTCTGCACTATGCAACTGAGCACCTGAAGACAAAGTACCACCTGCCTGCCAGGCCTGGCACCCGACAGGCATTCACACTGACTCCACTTCCACTGCATTTCCAAAGTGCTTGTGTAGTTCCGCAAGCACAGGTGAAATGCCAGGGACAGCATTTCCCACTACACCCAGGGGGTCAAGGGGAAGTCTTCTGCCCAGCTAAGCAGGTCGGGGACCTCCTGCATACCTGCCACCTCTTCTGGCTTGTTCATCTTGGGCCAGGCAGCTCCTTCCTCTGCAGGCCCGGGCTTCATTCCACACTAGGCATTTGACATGTGCTCTAAGTCCTGGCCTAGCTAGAACCCCCAGGCCTTGGAAGAGCTTCCAAATGCAATGAAAGAGAACATCCCCTTGGACTCTTTGGGCTTCTTATTAACTAACCTCAATTTCAGGAGTGCTTAAAAATACAAATTTCCTAGCCCCCAAACTGCAGTCATAATCTGAGTCACTGCAAGTCCTATCTTTCCCTCATTAGGCACAGTCATCACCATTTCCCAAGGGACAGCTTGGGATGTCCCAAGGAAGGGACATCTGGGATCATTTACCCGCAGGAGCTAAGTCACTTTTCATGAAATAATCTAACAAAACCAAAAACTTCCCATGGATATAMACAACACAAATAACCAGAATTTAAAAATGAAACTCTAAATACCAAGTTGTGCAAGTGTAGATAACCTCCTCTCTCTAGGCACCCGCGACTGTCCCTTTCAGAATAACTGGCAGCTATCAGCTATCCCTGCCATCGGGCCGCCCACCTGCTGCCACTGATTGTTACTCCATCCTGGCCGGCAATCTGCCTCAGGTGAGGCACCCCAACCCCTGAGAGAAAGCAACCATTTACCCACCTGCAGGACTCAGTGCCCAAGCCTGTTTCAGGGCTTTATCGCGGGTGATCCACATCCATCAACATCCATGTCCTCCCTGATTCCTGCCCTGACCAGTAGGCCCAGCACATGCCCGAGCAGTGGRTGTCCAATGACTTCACCTTTCCCACTCGCTCTTCCCTAGTCTATTCTTGATTCCTTGGAGTTCCACTATGTTCCCTGCCATGATAAACTGTCAAACACTGAACCACAACATCTGTCTTCTCCCAAGTTGTCTTTTTATGGTGTTGGTGGCTCCAGCTTCCCCTTCCATCTGAGGTAGGCAAAGCAGGTCCATGCCACTTCACTACAAGAGGCCCGCCCGGCACCCACCACAGACCTCAGGGCCACACGCGCTCAGCCAGCTGGAAAGCCCCACTAGGCCAGTCAAGCACCTCAGAGCCCCTGCAGCCAGCATTACACACTCACTATGCATTTCTCCCTCCCATGCCAGCCTCCACAGAGTCCACCAAACAGCACTGGCAGAGGGTGGGAGTCCAGCGCACAGTGTGCCCAGCTCATGCAGGCCTCAGGCAGAAGACTGCAGAACAGGCAGGATTCTGGGGGCAGAGAATGAAGGAGGGTACCAGCCTTCATGGAAGGGAAAAATAAGCACCTTAGAGCACCCCAATGACAGCACTAGGCCAGAGATGGCACCCAGGAGGCAGAAGCCTTGTTACCAAGACATATTTTACCTCATTTCATCAAGTCACCAATACAGTAGGTGGTTACGACCAAAAATATTACTAGTAATTTGCTACTTGTTCAACTGTAAATGTAGATTTCCCACTAGAGAACTTATTAGGATCTGTGCAGCGGGACAGGATTTTAAAATCCCTCASTCCATTCTCACGTTTTAGTTAAGGTTTTATTTTTTCACAATTGGCATAAAAACAATCTCTTCCTTAACCAAGGTGCTGGCCTGTGTCCATCAGCCACACTCCCCACTCTCCAACACCACAGCTGCAGGCAAGCTAAAGCCACCTCCCAGGGCCTCGTTGCAGGAAAGAGAACCAGCATTTATAGGGTTGTCGGGAGTTGAAATTGAAATAAAAAGCAAAATGTTTAAAAAGGTGTAGTGAGAAGGTAGCACTCAATCATRTAAGTTTTTAAAAGTGACAGTTGTGTTTTCTTGTCCCTCTCTTTCCTTTGTTTGACATGGGGTCTTGATATGTTTTCCAGGCTGGTCTCAAACTCCTGGGCTCAAGTGATCCCCCTGCTTCAGCCTACTGAGKAGCCTGGAGTACAGGTGTTTCCACGCAGTGTCTCCACTTCATATTGTGAAAAATTTCAGTCTCGCTGGCACAGTGTCTCTGGACATGTACTGTGTAAGAAGTCCCCTCCGTGAGCTTCAGACTGAAGGGAAGGGCAGCACCTACCTGACATCAGGCTAGAAGCTTTCTGGGCACTGGTGTTACAAGGCCATTTAAACATGGGAAAACAGAAGGGTGAGGGTCCTAGGCAGCAGGAGGTAGAGGTGGGATCTGAACCCACATATGTGCACCCAACATGTGAGGGTCAGGGCAGAAAGGAGGCCACTCTACTCCCTCACCAAATCTTTGCTTTTTAAATAACCTACCATTGAAGGGGTTTTGAAAAGAAACTTCTGAGGGGGCAAACAGAATTAGAAGTCTGACATTTCAATCAATCACGTTGAATATATTATAAATAATTTCTTTACCTACTCAAGCAGTGAGCCTTCAAAAATACCATTATGTGATAATTCAAGGCCCAACAATATCCTGTGCATTTTAATGGGCTCCTCTAGGGAGCATGAGCTTGTGCATCCTTTCCAGGCTGCAGGTCAGTGGCTCACATCCAGGAGCCTGTTGGTTAGATCATCAAATGCCTGACCCAGGCCAAACGGAACAAGGAAGCAGGTCAGACACCGGGCAGCACACTTGTTCTCCCAAAAGTTATCTGCCGGCCAAGGGTGGGGCTCCAGCCAGTGCCAGGTCATGTGGCCTGGGGTCCAGTGTCCAAAGGCTAGCAGGAAGGCCTCTCCTCCACTAACCAGCAGAGGGACCTGGGGCCGCTACCTCTCAGGACCTCGGGTTCCTGACCCACTACATCCAGGAAACAGGGACCCCTTCCTGGGCTCCCTGTGATGAGGAAGGGGTTGCTCCTGAAAGCTCTTGCTGAGGACAGGTCAGCTGCCAGCTGTTGTCTCAAAGGAGTAGAGGACAGTGGTCAAGAGCTCGGGCTCTGGAGCCAACTGTGAGGCTTCCTTTCAAGCCGAGACCTAACAGCTTAGCGTTGAGAACTCAATGGACCTGCTGTACCTCAGTCCCCTCATCTGCAAAACAGGGACGTTAGAAAGCCTCCTGGCAGCAGGGTGGTGGTGAGGAGTCCACAAAATGACAGGTGTAAAGTGATACGACAGTACCTCGTACAGTCAACTCCCAAGAGGTTACCTTTGGTTATATTTTATTTCTAGAGATCATTTGGTTCAGAAAAAAAGAAAAATTAGCTAACAGACATGATCCTAAATAACTCCGGGACTGCAGGAACATGATTCTGACCAAGCCTGATGTCCCCTCAAGCACTAGGAGATTCGGCAGGCTTGGGACCCTGAAGCCRTAGCAGGATCCACAGAGCTTAATTTGTTCACCTTCACTGATGGCAGAGATGGGTCTAATCGATACACTCCTACTCAAAAACACCCCAGGATGAAAGAGACATGTGAAATGCACTCTTTAAAAAACGGCTTGCGCACCAAGCAAGACCCACACAATGCCAGCCTTACTGACCTCTTCAGAGAAACGCAACAGAGAAGCAAAGCAACCAAAGGGCACAAGGAAGCCTCGGCAGCAGAGCTCAAAAAGAAGCCACCTGACCACTCTTCAAGATGCAGCCTATACCTCTCCTGTCCTGGCATTATCAGAAGGGATGGAGGTGGCAGGAAACTCCTGGTTGAAGCCTTAAAAACTAAGGCTCTGACTGGTTCTGCTGGCAATCTCTCTGYCTTTTTAAAGAGCAGGTTGAGCCATCCGTGAGCTGAGAGGTCACTGGGGCCAGGGTTTGCAGTGTGGGCAGTGTGGCCATCACGCTCCTGAGAAGTTTGCTGGCATTGCCCTGGCTCCTCCAGGCAGCTGTCTTCTCCTGATCTCTCCCACCCACTTCCTTCTTCAGGCTCCAACCCTGCTCCTGTCCCTTCTGGCCTTGGACAGCACTCTGACCTAACCAGACATGCTTCAGATGTTTGGCCTTGAGTAGGATTTTATTTACTGCCCAAAACCTTTAGTGATTCCCAGTTCAGTGCCACACTGAACACTGGACGATGTGGCGCTCTGACCTCCGGATATCCACACCCTACCACCCCACCCCTTTGCCCAACAGAGCCTGAGGCACACCTCCCGGACAGCAAGTGCCCACAGCGGGTCACACTGTGGGTATCAAATCTCTCATTCAAGCTGCAGTAAACAGTTCCTCCCCAAGACCTTTCCTTGGTTAATGGCTTCCGTTTGGGCTAGTCCCCTGGCCTGTAGCAGACAGTGTAGGCAGGGGACCTGGGTTCCAGTTCTGGCCAAAGTCCAATCCCCTTCACATACTCCACTATTCCCCACAGAATGGGTCAAGGCAAGAATCCCAAATGCCCTGCCCAGCCAACCAACCCAAGAGGTCCGTAAGAGGACCCTTGAAGCATGCAGCCACCACTGTGCCACAGGGCCACATATCTGGAAGGCACCTTTACCTGAGTGTTCCAAGACGCAACACAAGAGCAACACTGCTAACACACCTCCACCTGGCTTTTATTTAAAAGARAGACCTTTAAAACATCCACCTGGGCCTGACACTTAATGCCAGCCTGGTTTTCCACCCTGTGCTGAAGTGACCAACCAAAGTCTAACTTGCAAGGAAAGAGGGGAAAAGTGTCCTTCTACCACGGGCAACCTCCCCCACCACGTTACTTTTCTGCCTCTAGAACCCCAAATCAACCTCTAACCCACACAGTCCCTCCCTCCTGAGGCCGCCTTCCCGGGCCACCCTGCAGAGCCCGGCAAACCTCCTYGCTGCGGGACTCGCACTCGGCCCTGGACTTTCCGCAGCTCCACTCAGCGCCAAGCCTCCCACCAATCCCCTCTCCGGACGCTCCCTGGGGTCACCCGGGTGACTCTGCGGCATCAAAAGCAAGCTTTAGGGACGGCGTCCCTGGGGCCACCCCGACAGGTTTTTCCCCATTAAAGCCTCTGCACTTCAGAGGGGACTCGGCCGAAGTCAGCAGATTGCAAAACTCATAAAACTCGGCATCCCAGTGACCCTGCGAGGCGGTGCCGGCTCCAGCGTGCCCACGTCACCAGCGCCTCGGGAGGCGCCCCCGGGCAGCGCCCCCAGTCGCGCGCCCGGCAGCCGCGGGGAGGGGGTGCGTCCGGCTCCCGGTGCGGAGGCCGGGGCTCGGGGTGGCCAGGGCCGCACGCTGGCCAGACCCCGGGGCGCACCGCTCCCCTCCTCCTGCGGAGCGGGCCGGGGGCTCCGGTCGCCTCCCCTCGCCGCCAGCGCCCCCGGGCCGGGCCCGCGCGCCGCGCCCCCTCGCCCGCCCGCGAGCCGCACGCGCGGAGGGCGCCCCGGGCAGAGCGCCCCGCACCCGGACCCCCGGCTCCGCCCGCCCGCGCCGGCACTCACGGTTCCATCTCGGCGCCCCCGGCCGGCGCGCCCGGAGCCGCGCAGCAGCCGCGGCAGCCACAGCCGGAGCGACGGCGGCCGCGGGCAGCGGACCGGGAAAACGCGTCAGAGCGCGACGCGCGGTCACGTGCGCGGAAGCGGAGGGCGCGGAAGCGGCGACCGCGGTGGGCGCTGGCCAGCGCGGGGCACCGGTCCTCCGCACGCCCGTCGCCTCAGTCACGACCCAGGCCAGCCGAAGGGCCGCAAGGGCACGAATCCCGGAGCGGGGCCACCTCTGGGGACCAGGCCGCAGTCTCCAGCGCCCTACACACGTGTCTGCTTCCTCTTTCGTCTCCAACCGCGAGGTCCTTGCACGGAACTTTCACTGGCCAGCGTGTGAGCGCGTCCCGCCAGAAAAGCATCCTATACCCGCTCTGCCTTTGGTAGTTTAGGGGGTTTTAAGCATCCCTCCCAGTCTATTAGACTGCAACGCGTATTTTATTACCAATATTTAGCCGTAACATTCCATCACCATCCCCTGTGACTGCTTTTATTTGTCCTCCTCTTCCCAGGACCTGGCACCAGTCTAGCACAGAAAGACACCAGAGCGCGAGTATTAAACAGATGACTGAACTGGATTTGTCAGGTGACTAACAATATACCAGCCTATGTTCCAATAGTTTAAGAGAATGGGGACCACTTTCCCAAGGAATCAGAGGGAATGGGTTTCAGGGGACTAGTAAGTGGTTAAACGGGCCCCTGCCTTCTGGCTAGGGTGAGCAGCTAGTTCTAGAAGGCCTAAGAATTCCCTAGTTCTAGCACTAAAAGTCCTATGTCCTGGAAACCCCCTCAGTCCAGACAAACCAAGACAAYTGATCACCTTATTTCTGACCCATGTTTTTCTTAGTTACTGGTCTAAAGTGTCTTTGCTTGGTTCCGTCAAAATAGAAACTGAGACAGTAGTGTCCATGTTMACTTTGTTGGGAGCAGGGAAACAAGGAGAGAGAATAAAGTTTAGACGGGGACAGAGAAGAGTACGCTTGGGGAAGTGCAAGCTGGTCAGAGCTTTCAACACAGCTGGCTGCTCAGCCTTGCAGGAGAGACTCATAGAAACTACAGGGTCAGGAGACAATCTGTTGGCTCTGTCCTGTTACCTGTCTCTCATTGGTCTCCCATTGGTCAAAGTCTGATCTACACATCCAGGTAACTTTACCAGCCCCTGCAAGTGGCTACTGATGGCTAGCAGCATCTGAAGGTACCAGTACAGCCAGTACAGGGTAAATGAGGCTCCCTTGACAGCACCCACGGGCTCCTTTGCTGGGGCTGCAGGTACAGAGGGTAGAACTATGGGAAACTTTTCCAGCATAGCTCAGGCAGGAAAGCAAGCGGGGAGGCCCATGGTCCTGTGGGGTGTGGACCCAGGCAGACCAGGGGGATCTGGGGATCCAGCACAAAGAAAGAGAAGGTTTGGAAAATTTGTTACAAAGACTGGGGAAATGGATGGCCTGGGAAAGCCTAGCAGTACTCCAGGGCTTCATGAGGCCTCAGCTCACAGTGGTGACTTCCTATCAATGGTGACCTTTCTGAAACCTGCCTGGTGGCAAGTGCCTCCTGCTGACCAGGCAGCCTGGCATGACAAGGGAGCTTGGGTCCTGGGCAAAGATTAGGGGCCGTGAGACAAAAGGAAGTGAGAATCACTTGAGGAGCTTTAAAAAACCATAATGCCAGGGCTAGGGTTGTGGCTCAGTGGTAAAGTACTTGCCTAGCATGTGTGAGGCCCTGGATTCGAGTCTTAGCACYACATATAAATACAATAAAGGTCCATTTACAACTAAAATAAATATATATATTTTAAAAATGCCCAGTAAAATGAAACCAGATCTGAAGTGCAGTGTAGGCACCAGTGGTTTCCAAAGTTCCCTACAGGATTCCAGTGTACAGCAAGTTTGATGGCTAGTTGGGCACTGGAATCTAGGCTGATTGGCTCCAGCTCCTTCCTTGGGGCCACATGCATTTTTATTCTTTGGTTCTGTGAATTACCCCTGTAATAATCAATTCCCTCTTTTTGGTTGACACTAATACCTTAACCATCAGTCTTAAATGCTGCATTACTATCTCTTTATGAAATGACAATGCTGCTAGGTGTCCCTGATGTGACTCTCAAGATGAGAACTGCTGCAAAGTTCCAATTCCTACTGCAGCCTGAAGGAGGGGCACTCTGCTCTGCAGTGCTCCCCACAGACGCCTGACTGACCTCCACGAGAAGGTGCTACTCTGGAGGAGCAGTGCCTGCACCCTCTAGGCTGACTTCAAAGGAATCCATGTTGGACCAGATCCTACACTGGGGGCTCTCTCTATCCAAGAGCCCGAGTGACGTACCAGAGACACTGCCACAGTCACAAAGGATGGAAAAAACAGGGAAACTGGATCATGATGAGAAACATAACCCTCCCTCCTTTCAAATCCTCACAAGACCTTGCTGGACATGCTGCCCTGTCACAAATGCAGCTAAGTGTCCTTCCCAGCCACCGGGGTGTATGAAAAGAGTGGAAAGAGCACAGCCGTCCCTGGACACAGATTTCAGTTCTGCTTGGCTCCTTCATTCCCAAGGGGATCATGCCCTACCTTCCCAGGTCCCCAACCCCATCCTGAATGCAGTACACTGGGGGCCGTGTGTGCCTGTGCCTGAGCGCTTCCAGCTGATAATTAGTCCTTGACTCAAGCTATTTCCCACATAAAAACCAGGGCTGCTCAATTAGATTCATAATTTGCCACAAACTGCCAGATTAGGGAAGGCCAAGGTAGGCCAATCCCAGGCACAAGAAGGGTCTGTCCCACTGCAGGGCTCAGTGTCACAAAGAAGCCTCTACTTGAGCTTGAACACACAGAACAAGGAGCTCTGTCCTGATCCTCTAGATCCGGCCTAAACTGCACAACTCCAGCAAATACAGGGTAGGGAAGGAAGAGAGATGTGGCAGGAATGCTAGTGTAGAAAGGTTCAGAGCAGACATGGCAGTGTCCTGAGGCTGGGCAAACATAAGGAGCATGGTGGCCTTCAGAGAGATCCCACCTGTGGCTATGGCACTTGGAGTGACCCAGGGCCTAAAACAGCAGCTTCCTGAAATCCCGCCTCCTGGTGGCTTTTCCTTTTATATGGCCTTGCTACAGTACTGCCAGGCTGAAATGCAAGCCACRCATTAGGAGTCACTTTTCTTCCATTGCTCCTTTAGGTCACATTTATGGTCATTTTTAAGGTTATGGATGCATCAATGATATTTCATTGATATTCCAATGAATTTCATTCAGGATAGGAGAAGAGGTGTTACAAAACAGTCCTTATGTTTTTTAGAAGCTCTAGGGAGGGAGAGTTCTCCTCCCTTTTTGAGAATAAGAGCCCAAGGGCAATAAGGCCTGCTACACAGGGAGCTGTGTTSAGAGTGGAGGGGCAGACAAGGGTGACTCAATGAGAAGAGCAAGACACTGAGCCAGCTGGAGGGCGGAAACCAAGCCTCCAGCTGGAGAAGTTCAAGACACCTGCMCAGCAGACGGCCAGCCAGCCTGCCTTGGCCCCACTTCCCAGCCTGACCTAATCTGGACTCCATCCTTGGGTCTTCGCTTTTTCTCCTTGAGGGTAACCAACAGTCCTGATTTTTCTGGAACTGAGGGGTTTCCTGGGACACAGCTTTCAGTGTAAAGCCAGGACGAGTTGGTCAGCTCCAGAGCTGCCTGGTTACGTCCCCCAGTGGAGGCTGGGCCTCTCTGTTCTTTTGCCCAGAATCTCCGTGCCTGCTGCTCCCCAACACCCACACACAGCACACAGCCCTTCCTCAGCCCACAAGTGATAAACCTCAGACCGTTCAGGTGACAAAGCCAAAATTCCAGACGCTCTGCAGGAGAGACAGGGCAGAGGGCAGACACGGGTCACTTCCTTCAGACTCACAGCTCCACTAGTATCTGCTGGCTGGGTTTTAGAGCCAGGGGGATCAGATCACCCTGAGACCTGCAGACTGGCCTGAGAAGTGCAGTRGTGGACCCTAACCTGCCCAGTCCTCCCGACTTGTCCATCAAACATCCGGCTGTCACTTCAGGCAGTTGTCAGCAGAGAGGAGCCAAACTCCAGCCTGTCAACACCTGGGCTTCTCTCCTCAAGGAGAGCCTCTATGAATTGAATTGTGTCCCACCCAAGAATGTTGAAGTCCTARCCCCCCAGTGTCTGTGAAATATGGCTGTATTTGGAAACAGGGTCTTTGATGATGAAGACAAAGTCATTAGGGTGGCCCTAATCCAGTGGAGAGTTGGATGCAGAGCAGACACACACAGAAAAGATGYGTGTCTCTACCATTGAGCTACACCCCCAGCCCTTTTATTTTATTTTAATATTTTTTTTTAATTGTAGATAAGCACAATACCTTTTATTTATTTATTTTTATGTGGTGCTGAGGATAGAACCCAGTGCCTCGCACTTGCTAGGCAAGCACTCTACCACTGAGCTACAACCTCAGGCCCCCTTTTTATTTTTTGACACAGGTTCTTGCTAAGTTGCTGAGGCTGGCCTTGAAATTGTGATTCTCCTGCCTCAGCCTCCAGAGTAGCTGGGATTACCAGCGTGTGCCACTGCACTTAGTAGACACCTTGATTTCAGACATACG